CATAGCCACTAAAATATTTTAAAATAGAGTAAATCCTTAAGCTTTGGTGAGTGTGGCGTTAATAAGAAAGTGCCTGACATATAATTATACATAATACATCATACTCACATGTGAGAATCGTTTAATGATGTGAGCTACAAAAATCAAAGGCTGGTCATTTGGAAGTCACCTAAAGGCTCCATGCTAAAGCTACAATAAATAATATCTGGTGAATTATAAACATTTAGAAGTCACTGTTTTCAAAATTCTAAACTCTAATAATAGACTGTTTCTTCGGAGCCATAATAAGCACTGCTGGCAAATAATGGATCCTCTAATGGGCTTAATTGCTGCTGGGCTATCGTCATGGCTTCTTCTATTGTGCACAAAGAACAAGCAGAAGGGCTTAGCGTTCTGCCTTAAATGAGGCAGAGGCAGAATAGGCACCAAGGTTAAGCTCATGTGATCACATTTTATTTAATTATCTGTTAACGCTGATAATTAGTTTTCTCATTTGTGATGCAGTGGGTCTGGATGAATTGCCTTTAAGGTCCTTTCTATCTCAATTTGATGACTATGGTCTTCATTAAAGTGTCTGGCCCAACCTTCCTTCCTAGGAATCCTATCCAGGCCCACAGCAGTGAAAGTGGCATAACCCACTTTCTCCTCTTTCTCTTATCACCGTGATGACAGCCATCAAGTGAGAAGAACGCACCATAGCCACAATATGCACTGAGCAAAGTGAATGCAAATAAGAATGAATGGGTACGACTCACCTTCCAGAAGGTAAAATCTCTCTCTCTCTCTCTTTCTCTCTCTCTCTCTCTCTCTCTCTCTCTCTCTCTCTCTCTCTCTCTCTGTGTGTGTGTGTGTGTGTGTGTGTGTGTTTATGGGTACACGGAAATATGACTGCACATTAACAGTGAGGACATATGTGTGGAGGCCAGAAGTTTGCGTTAGGGGTCTTTCCTAGTCACGTCTCTACCTTAATTTTTGAGGCAGGGTCTCTCACTGAACCTGGAATTCACCATAAAGGTTCTGAACCAGGTCTTCAGGCCAACACTATTCTCAGAGAGCCATCTCCTCAGTCCCTAGAAAGTCCTTTAAACACAATTGTAGGGCATTCTATCCTTGCATAATAAAGGGCAATAATTCCTCTCAGTTATTTCAACACAAACAGGTTGACGGAAGAGTAACTCAAAGGCTTTCTCACATATAATCAATGGCAACATAGGTATGGATGATATGTAATAGTAAATAGTTTTCTGAAAATCCTTTCATACTATAGATGATGTGTAATAGTAAATAGTTTTCTGAAAATCCTTTCATACTATAGATGATGTGTAATAGTAAATAGTTTTCTGAAAATCCGTTCATACTATAGATGATGTGTAATAGTAAATAGTTTTCTGAAAATCCTTTCCCAGAGGACTGGAAATATAGCTCAGTGGTAGAACTTGCCAAGTAAGCATGAGACCCTGAGTTCCACTGAAAAGAGAGAAAGGAGGCAGGAAAAAGGAGAGCAGGGAGGAAGGAAGGAAATCCTCATCCATATGCCTTGTAGGTCTAGAGATCTTTCTCAACTGTCTGTGGTTTGGGGTCTGGCAGGAATAACCTAACCATGGCACTATGGGTCCTCTGTAGACAGCCTTGGCCAGTTCGTGTTTAGATTCTACCCAGATCGATATGATCTGTCTGGAATTGAATTTCAAGATCTCCTATATAAGGAAGTCCATTTCTGACATTCTCAAGTCAGTGGAAAGGGAGCTGAAGAATTTGCCTATTCTAATGTGCTGCAGTTGGGTTCTGTTTATCTCTTATGCCAAGTTCATGATAAAAAGGCAACATTTTCATTATGCTGCTTAGATTTTTCTCCAGGGGAATACAATTACATAGAGATAGGTAGGTTTGTTTTATGCTCTTTGGGTTTAGAGATAATCTCACTAACTAGCCTGGCCTGGAATGCTTACGTATTCCAAGCTGGCCTTAAAGTTAAGATCCTTCAGCTTCAGCCTCCCAAGTGTTGAGATTGCAGGCACACGCGGTAGCAATATTACAGGGAGATTACCCCATGTCTGCCTCTAACACATAGTATTCTGGTATGTTCTTGCCACATCTACCCAGGAGACTTAATTTGTAGATGCGAATGGCTAGACTGTGTGGCTGCTACTCACTATGTATGGCAAGCATCTAGAGAAGGCAGAACAAGTGCAGCCAAACCAACAGGGTGCTGGAAAAGATGACACAGTAAGTCACTATCAAGGGGAGCTTGGCACCCATGCAGAACCGACAGCTGAATAACTCTGGTTTATTGCACGGATACACTGACTTTGTACAAAGGAGCATGTGTAAATGAAAGATCAACACTAAATTCCACATTCCTTTTTTGTTGTTGTTTTTGTGTTTTGTTTTGTTTTGTGTTTCCTGGCTGCCCTGGAACTCACTGTGTAGTAGAGCAGGACAGTTGCAAACTTGAGCCTCTGGCCTCGGCTTCCTGACTGTTGGGATTATGTGGCCATTCTACTTCTTCTGGGAGGGATGGAATATTTACTAAACACCCACTAGGTGCAGAGCACATGGGCCCTTAAAATACTAGACAGACAAAATATATCTGCCAAACGGGTGAATACCACAGTCAAGGGTACAGCTATACTCTCTTTCAGTATGTTTTAACAGGGATTATAAACACTAAAATTATAAAAATTGGCAACAACATTGTAGAATGTTTGATTTCTGTTGTTTCTCATTTTATTAGTGTATTCATTAGCCCCATATTCATATAGAATATGAAGAGATACAAATAGTTAATGGAGCTATTATTTAAATGTTTCTAGATTTATTTTATGTGTGTGTATTTTGCTTATGTGCACATATGTATATCACATGCATCCTGACCCCCAGGGAGGTCAGAAGAGGACGAGGGATCCCATGGAGCTGGAGCTGACATGGGGTGTTGGGAACTGAACACAGGTCTTCTGCAAGAACAACAAGTGTTCTTAACCACTGAACCATCTCTCCAGCCCCCAAATAGAGCTATTATTTAATTGTACTAAAATTGTTTGATTTACCTGGACATTTGTTTACAAAATAACTGATTTACATTTACGTTAAATAATGACATTTTTGTTTAATCAAAATTGTTAGAAATTCACACTGACTTCAACCGTTTTATAACCAACTTGCCCCTGTTACTTGCTGCCATCAGTAAAGGGAGAAAAAGGAAACCGTGTGACCAGAGAGTGATCAGTCTGAACATGCGTGCTAATTACCTCTGAGCTGTGGAGCTACAGATAATTTTTACTGTCTTTCATTCCTTTCTTGTATTTTCTAAAATAAATACTTATTTTCTATAATAAACATGCATGATTTGAATTACAAAAAAGGCGGAATATTTTCTTAAACATAGTAAAGATTGCCATCACGTAAGATGGGAGAAGGTCAAACAAAAGACAGTGGCAAACATTCTCCCCTCTAGAGAGAGACGTTTGCCTTGTGGCTCCAAGTTTGGCTTTTCTTGGTGAACGAGCAGGTGAAGAGATGGCAAATAGAAACAGTTAATAAAGTCCCACTGCATCTAACACGTGGGCAGGGTCTACAAGAGCTCTGTCAGCACACAAATATGCCTACAGGTCAGGGAAGGAAGGAGCACGGGGCGTCTCTGATAGTCACGGCCGAACTCCACAGAGAGGTTGGAGACAGAAGCTCGGTTCTCTATTCAGGGCCTAAATCTCTGAAGCTAACTTCTGAAGGTGGAGCTAGGAATGCTTTGTTCTAGTTTTAAAGTAACAAAGGACTGTGAAAGTGGAGTAGCTTCGCTTTTAGAAACAGAGGGGACACAGAAATAGAGTGTGCGGGTGTGATAATTATTCTTATAGAATTTCCATATCCTGGGCATATTATGCCGAGGAAGGAAGGGTATTTGGATTTGAACACACTCACTGTTATGGGACTCACACACATCCAGCCCAGGCTATGTCTCTTTCGGAGCTTTTGTCTGCGTTGAGGAGCATGTTTTCCTACATGCAGAGCTTAAATGAGCTTTCACAAAAGGAAGGTGATCAACTCAGTGCTAGTCCTGTGTGCATTTTCCTGCTTGCAGGGAGAAAAAGGCATGGCAGATGATTTATAGGATACCATAAGCAGCAGCATCGAGAGAAGCTGCTGTACAACGCCATGGTCAAATGTCAAAACTGCTACAAGCAATTGTTTGCTTTCTTGGGTACCAGAGGCTTAGATGCCACATGAAACTTATTGTAACTGGCAGCTTTTCAAGATCGAACTGAGGGGGGAAGGGGAAATAATGAGAAAATGACTGTCATATTCATTTTTACATAGGCAATACTATACAATAATGTAATCGAAGCAAGCACACTCCCAGGTTGGCCTCTGGTTGCCTGGGTAACGGGTATGTCACCTGACCTCAGGGCCTGAGCATTCGCATCTTCAGATCACGTGGTGACTATGAACTGCCACAGACTCATTATGCTAAATTCTAATCTCGCTCTTCTCCTAGTGCCTCCTTAGAACAAAGCTGCGGCCTTTTTTTTTACGTCTCCTTTGAAAAACCGAAGCTATCTGAAGAACTGATTCTTTTGCCGAATCAAAAGAATTTGTTAGAATGGGGCATAAAGGGCTACAACTTTCCTCGGCAGAGAATGCGATATTGAGGAAAGATAAAAAAGTCTCATGTCAGCCCCCAAACTGCAGCTATTTGAAAATGGAGCGGCTTGTAAAATGATTAGCCTTTGTGGAAGCAGGGGAAGTAGAAGCCTAAAGGACAGAGAAGAAACCGGCATTAAAGGACGTCAGTATATTTGTCTCTTCCTAATTCAGTTCTAGGTTAAGAGGTAATTTAAATATGCCCCGGAAAATAGGACACACAGAGAACTGTGCGTCTTTATGGCAAAACGATGTGTTCTGCCGTGCTTCCTTCCACAGCCGCGGCAGCAGGGACCTGGTGCAGTGGGGGAAGTGCAGGCGAACGCAGCCTGCAGTGAGATAAAAACCGAAATCACACAAACCCTTAGGTCCTTCGTCCTTCGGGGGGTTGGGGTTCCGAACAGGATCCCGGATGCTACAGTCTGTGCCTGCCCAAGTGAAGTCACAGATGCAGGTGGCTTCGTTACTACACACCTGGGGAGGAAAGAGAAGAGATGCGGTACTGTGCATCACCGAAGCGGCAGGGTGCTAAAGGGATCTCTCAAAGTCATTTAGAAAGCTTTGGGGCCTGGGTTCATGGCTCAAATTACTTATTTTTTTCCTGATAATTATAGAAAAAATAATGATTAAGATGAAGAAAGCTTTTTAAACTTGTATTAGTTGTGATGACTTAGATACACAAATGTCTAATAAAGGAGACTTTTTCCCAAAGCAAACATTTCTAGAAACATCCATGAAAAACATACATGTTTAATTCACTAAGTTAACAGTCCCGGGGTTCAAAAGACACTTCCAAGGGGCTATCCTTGAGATAAAAGGCCGAGAGGCACAGTCACTAGCACACTGCGTGACCTCACCACGCCTAGCTCATTTGGTGGCACTTTGCTTGCTGGATAAGCACTGTCCCCCCTCCATCTGTGGAGCCACTCTTTCCTAGCAGAAGCCTCCATCAAGCCGCAAATGGCATGGACTTCCAATTTACATGAATCAAATAAAACCCTCTGCAAACTAGAAAGTAAGGTGCTTAGACCCTTTTATCATTAGAAATGATCAAATCAAATGCCAAAGCTTTTAAATCTCAGGTACTGTGGTATATGATTATGATTATTAAGACTGAACTTTGCTTTTTAAAAGATGGCAAAAATGAGAGGGAAAAAAAGAAAGCAAAAAGGAGCTTTTATGTCTCATTTTTTTAGAGCAATAACTAAAATGCTTAAAAAGTCTGCCTGGTGATTTTATTTTCCATAGCAATTTTGCTGAACACTCATTATGTGTCAGGTTCTTATGCTAAGAACTTTATGAAAAACTTCTCATTTCTCCTCACACCAGCACTTAAGGGTCGGGAGAGGGTAAGTACCCACCTACCCAGACCTCTAAGATGCCACGAAGTAGAGCCAGGATTTAAATCCACAACCCTCCCTAACCCCTGAATCCATGTTCTTAAGTCACCAGATGAGACGGCTGACTTCAGTGTCATGATGGGCATGAGTAGGGCACACCTTTGGGGGCATCTCTGAATGCGTGTCAAGAAGGATTAGCTGTAGGGTAAAGGCCCAGCCTGAGCGTGGGCCACTGTGTCACCCCATGGAATGGGGTCCTGGACTGAATAAAAATGGGGGACCTGTGTTCTCCGTTCTTGCTTTCTGACTTGATGAGAGTGCAGAATAAGCTTTGGGTGTCTGCCCTTCATATAACGCTGGACCGTGGCCTTTAAACTATGACCCAAGCCACCCTCTGCTCTCTGAAATCGTTTATGTCAGGTATTCAGTCACATCAGCCAGCTGCTACACGGCCTCCCTGTGAGCGTGCTCAGCCAAGCATCACCACAAGAGGGGCTTCGTGAGCCTGTCCACCTGACTCTGCCTCTGCTCAGCCTCATCTGCCTATCTCTCAACGTTGGGTTTTTCTGACCTTCATTCTAGACCCCCCCCTTTTTTATTATTGCTCTATTTCTTTGCACCCATTTTTCTGATTTCTGAAGTCTATATAAATTTTGAAATGCTTTAATTTCACTAAGTCCAATATAAATCACTGTTATAATTTAAGTACTATTATTATCATTATTAAACTTCGTTTTTTCCAGGAAAGGCAACATTCTCAAACACTTTAGACACAGAATTAAAGCTATGCACAGGTTTCAATATGGACAGCGTCGTTTTCCAGGGGTGGGGGTTGGGGGGGATGAGGACAGCCCAAGCAATAACTGGACATCTTTAGAAGTCTGGAACCATCTGTGACAGGTTCTCCTGTCAGTGTGACCCGAAATGAAAGTCAATCACTAATATGACTTATGTTGTTTTGTGCTATTAAAAAATACGGACACAGAGCCTCCAGTCCCTTAGCAACCACATTGATTTTCTCCCAGCTTCTAAGATGTCATGATGGCTAATTTCGTGTGCTAAGTTAACTGGGCTGTGGGGTGCCCAATTGAGCATCGTTTCTGGATGTGTCCATGAAAGCATTTCCAGACGAGAGCAACATCTGAATGGGTGAACTCCGCGGAGCTGATTGCACTCCCAACAGGCACTGAGCAGAGCTCACAAAGAGGAGGAAACGGAGTTCAACCTCTTTCCTTCCTTCATCTTCTCCAGCCCTAGACCTCGGGTGTGCACCCTCGGCTCATGTCAGCAGACTCAGAATGAATCATACCGAGAATGGACAAGATCTCCATTTGATAAACAGCAACAGTGGGACATCACAGCCTCCATAATCATGTGATAATATTCATAATAAATCTTCTTAGACAGATAGAGGATAGATACATAAATAGGTGAGCAGATAGAAGATTTATGGCATTTTTCTACAGACTATTGACTAACATAGATGTCCAGTTACATTTGGGGAACACGGTCAAAACAAATAATCAATAATGATATGAGAAATAACAAAATAAAATCAAATTAATTTATAAATAATGACTTTAGCAGATAAAGCTACTGAGAAAATGACGACAGCTGGGGAATAGAATTTGTCCACCGCCTCAGTAAGAAATGACTGTCCTGTCACTGTGAGCTGAGGAAGAGTCAAACTGTGACATGGATATCTACTTACCCCATGGCCTGAACAGACTTTGCCCTTGGAGTCAAGTGGGCAGCTGCTCATATTCAGGGCTTGAATCTGTAGGCACTTCCGGTCTAAGCACATCATGGACGGACCACATGGAGTCCCATCTTCTACGTAGCCCACATCTGTATTGTCATCTAAAACCACATGAGCACCACTGGAAGCAGAGAGAGACCCACATGAACATAGACACCACACCCACAGTCCTGTGCCAGCGCCTACAAGACTCGCCACTCACGAAACAGAGGAGACTGTTAGAACTCACAGCGTTTTTCAAGACTATCTCTGCTTCCCACCTAAGAAGAGCGCCAGAAAGAAGCTACCTTTTATCATCAATAGCAGACATTCCCAGGAAAAACTATTATTGGCAGGAAGCCTTCTGACTCTTCCATTGTTTCCAATATCAAGGCTAAATGAAGGCATTCGTGTAAAAAGAGAAGAAGAAATGCTTGGTTCTCCAAGGCGTTGTAGGGAAAGGCAGGATGGGAGGGAAATAATGGCAAGCAGAAACGGCAAAATAAGGTATTTGAAAATTATTATTACCCCCAAGGGATTTAGCTATCACAATTAAAAAGATAAAGCTGGGCAAAGTCTTCTTTACTAATGTATACTTCTTATGTTTCAAAGTGAGGGGCAGTTAGAGTTTGAATGATAATTAATGGCATAATTATTACCAAAGAGTCTTGCTGAATAATCTACAAATACGGCAGCTTGCAATATAACCATCTAATTTAAGAAGGTTATTAAAAACATGTGAGAATGTATACATAGAAAGAGTGCTTGTGTACGTGGAGGGTACTAAATATAATACCACAGATTATTCCATGGACGAGCTTACTGCCTAAGGCCTCATTAGAATTACCTCAGAGTCATTTAGCAAGATGGAAAAATAGCAGTTATCTGATCAAGACATTATCCAATTGTGCATAATTTCTCTTCGATAATTTCCAATAATCATTCACTCCCAGAAAAAAAAAATGGTTTCGGAGTCTCAGGAAAGTGAAGGGGTAGATGCTATGTAGGAGGTGTGGGGGGTATTTTTTCTAACATCAATAAACTATATTTTAATAACTATTTTCTTTATGTGATTTGGTGCTTGTTAGGTCGTCATCTAAACCAGACACATGCAACATAAAATACAGAGTAAAAAATAAAACACACAGTGTTCAAAGAGTGTTACACTCCAGTGCTCCAAAGATTTATCCAGGGGTAAAATGAGCCCAGGTTGAGTGTTCCTAACCCAAAACTCTCTGAAATGTTCCAAAATCTGAGTACTGGCAGGATGCCATGATTGGAAAAGTCCAGCTAAAACACAGCCACACTTAAAATGCAGGGACAGCGAAGGTACTGGGTAAAAACCACTGCTCAAAATAAGAAATATAAATGGCCAATAATTACAAGAAAGCCCAATATGATTCAGGGAAGTGCAATTCAAAGTGCACTAAGATGCCATCTCAATTTACTTAATGCAGCCTCCATAAAAAAAATTACAAACACTGGCTAGAGTAAAGAGAAAAAAAGAAATTGATTATAGTAAGAGTGGGTGTACAGCCTTCAACACAACAGAATGGGGGTTCTTTAAAACACTAGGTAGCTCGACCTTGTGTTTACTGTGGCATTATCACAATCGCCAGGCGGCAGAATCAACCAACCCATCAGCAGAAATGGACGCAGGAGATACGGTGCATACAGAGCAGACTCCCACTTAGCCACGGAGAAGAGTGGCTGCCATTTTTAGAATGTACGGGAACTACGTTTGCACACTGAAAGACAGGTGCGACATGCGACACGCCGTCTCACACATGGGTGAACTTGTAAACGTTCTCTGATCAGTGGAACCGTGAAGAGTAGGGTCAGAGACTATGCAGTGTGGGGTAGCCGTAGTGGATCCATCCTGCAGCCCTGTGTGGAGGGATTCAGTAAGCTCTGTTAACATACACGGTTACTATGCTAATAAAACAGATGCAAAACCATAAAAATTTTCCTTCAGTCTGTAGTGTAAGGTACAAACGAAACATAAGTAAATTCCATCCTTAGTCCTGGGTTTCATCCTTGGGATGAAACGTTAGATTGTTGATGTTTCCAAAGTTTGATTGTTTGAAACTGTGATCAGGTCGCCCCCGACATGTTACCTGCAGTCAATCACTCGGCCTTGATGGTAGAAGGACGTCGGGATGATCTCTCCTTGAAGCTGACCAATCCTCGGTGCTCGGGTAAGATTGGTGCAGAGTAAAAATCCACAGAACACGTCACTGCATGGGTTTCAGAAGGCAGAAGACAGGAAGAGTCTGGCTCAAAACCCACAGACCACACTGCATGTACATTAGCCCTCTCATTGTGTGGCTCTGGGAAGCAAACCCACAGCCTTGCAGATGCCAGGCAGGCAGTTACTGTTGAGCCCGATCATCTCCACTCCTGAAATCTCTCGGCACTCTCTCCACTGCGGAATAAAAGCACTCGGGTCCTCTAACTTGGCTAGGACCCTCCTTGAGCATGGGACAGCTTCACTCATGAAGTGTGCACCCTTGAAAAGAAAGGCCGAGGATGTTCTCAGCCAGAAGCAGCACTCCTGTTCCTACATCCACAGTCCGACACACCCCTCCTCTCCACTCTAAACTGACAACAGCACAGCCAGATCGCAGGGCTAGAAGGATGGCACTTGCAGACAACGGAAGACAGATGATCAACCTGTGAATGTGTGGTTCCTACATCTTGCAACCATGGGTTCACGAGTGCAAGAATTTAAAAGTCAACATAATAAAGATGGCACAGCGGAAGGGAAGACATCCTCCAGATCTTTGGTGGCGTTATTAAATGACTCACCTGCTGCTGTGAGGACACTTCCACCTCCAGCCTAAGCTGCTCATAAACAATGACTCATACAGGATGACGGCACGCAGTGAAGTGCCACATCACCAGAAAGGAAACCTGCGTGGAAATGAGCTACATTCCACTCATAACGTGAGAAAGGCAAACTAAAGCCGTGCCAAGATAGTTGTCCACAGACACAAGAACTGATACAGTTTAAAAAAAAAAAATCTGGTAAGATGAAGTATTGGCGAAAGCAGCATATATTCTGGAAGGGTTTCCTAGAGCACAAACTGATATCACCTGCTGACAATGAAAACATGCATCCATGACCTAGCAACCGTCTCGCTAGGTACATGCCCTAGAGAGACGGACGTGATTTACATGGGGCTATATGCACAAGAATGTCCACAGCAGTATAGTTCAGGTCTTCCTCTTCTTTTCACATTTATCTATTTAAAAAAATACGGGAGTGGTGGATGCCATGTATAATTCATCTTCTGTCAGTTTCATACAGGTACATTGCAACCATTGCATCCACAGCTCCCCTATTTTTTGTCCACTGTGTGCTTGCCTCAGCCTGGGAGTGCGGTTGCTATGCTCCAGCGGTTGCTATGCCCCAGGGTGCTCACTCACTGTTTGCTGCATTGGATCCACCGGTCTCCATCTTTGCCACAGTTGCCCTTCTCAGTGCCTTCCGTGTTCAGCTTCTCATAGCAGAACTTGTCTGACCCTGCAGCCTCTATCAGAGATGGGTGAGAGAAGAAAACACATTTTACTTCTCTGGGCTACTCACACTCAGTGGGCTGCCACAAAGTGTCCATCAACTAACTGCCTCTCGGAAACAGGGAGAGAAGGGACTCTTGATTGCCAGCTCCTACGGTGAAAACATTCAAGGGCTGACTTCAAGCCGTGGATGTGCCGTTCCCTGGCTTATCAAAACCTCCAAAATTCAGCTGCTTTTGTGGGCTAGCGCAAAACTGCTCCAGCACGGCACTGTCTGTGGTATGAGAACTCTCTGGCCAGATCTCGCTGGCGAGTTTAAAGGTGACCAGTGAGGAAAATCACTAGCAGCAACAAGAACACCACCACACACAGTAAACGAATATGTATTCTTAATCCTGTTTCATTTTAGCATGTGTGTGTGGGGGTGTCTATGGGTGTCATGCTTAAATGTACAGTTGTATACCATGTGCATACAGTGTCAGATGAGGCCAGAAGAGGGCATCAGATCCCCTGGAAATGGAGTTAGTGACAGCTGTTAGACACCATGTTAGTGCTGGGACATGTGGAAGAACAACCAGTGCTCTTAACCACCGAGCCATCACTCCAACCTTCTTAATCCTATTTTATGTTAATATTTGGAGATGCATTTAAAAGTCTCAGCCACTGAGGTTGTTTAAGCTAACAGCCTCACTCTTTAACCAAGCTGGCTTTAGCTACTAGTCGCCGTCCTGACGCAACATCCCAAACGCTAAGATTGCAGTGTGAGCCATTGTGCCTGGTTTTGCTGATTGATTTTTATATCAACTCTTGAATTTTGATATTTAAATTTTAGGAAGACGTTATGTCCTTATTATCTACGTGAAGCACCGAGTACAAACCTTACGTGTGAATGACAGCTGCCAAACATTGAAATCACTCACATGACCTCATTTGTACACTTTCTTCCAGATGGAAGATCCAGCCTCAGCCAGCTAGGGAGTCTCGGTTCTCGTCCTTCCAGTCCTGATCAGTTTTTATCAACTTGACACAAACTAGAGGCACCTCAAAAGAGGAGAGTTCAATTGAAAAACTGCCCCCATCAGACTGGCCTGTAAGCAAGTGGAGGGGCATTTTCTTGCTCAATGCTAGGCAGGTGCTTTTGGGTTGTGTAAGGAAGCAGGCTGAGCCAGTCTTAAGGAGCGAGCCGGTAAGCAGCGCTCCTCTATAGTGTCTGCTTCAGTTCCTTCCTCCAGCTTCCTGCCTTGAGTCCCGGATCAAACTTCACACAGTGTGACTGGGACACACAAGCCAAATAAATCTTTTCCTCCCCAAGATGATTCTTCTCAGTGTTTTTTTATCAGAAAGCAAAGTAAGGCAATTCTTATACAGCTCTCCTGAACCGAACAGTTCTGAGTCACTGCCAATGTCAGCCAGAGACCTGTGTATTAACATTCAGGTAACATGTCAGAGATTTGTCACCATGGTACTGTCTGCTCCCAGGGAAACTCCTGCATGTCATCCCTTTAACTGGGACAGGGAATGACAACAAAACAGCAACAAGAAACAAAACCAAGTCCGCTCCTCTCCCCAGGCAAACCAGCAAGGTGCACAGTAAGTCATGCGATTGTGTGAGTGGTCAGATAAAGACTGTGTTACGCACTGTGGCACGCAGCCTTGTGGCCACAGGTAGCTGTAACATCCCATAACGGCCAAGGCCAACGAAAGACACTTTTGGTTCGCATGGCAAGATCTCCACTTGGGTTATCTGTTTGCCACAGTTTTTGCTGGGTCATCATCATTCTTTGAGGTTGACTGGGAACTGAACCAAAAGCCTCTCATGAATTCTTCCACAGCACTCCGTGCTGGGTGTCTCTGTCCCAGGCTGGAAGACAGAGCTGTGAAGAGGACACTGTATGGCCATCAGGCAGGAGGGTGCAACCTACTTGTTCCCCAGATGTACTGACACTGGTTGTCTCTTGTCTTGCACTCCCCATTGTAGCAGCGACCCTGAGAGAAAAAGCAGGTATGTTGTGAGTCACAGGTCACAGGGCCATTTCCCCCAAAACTCTGAGCACAAGGTCCCTCTCTGGGGGGGGTCACACAAAGTTCTCTTCATTTCATCCTCAAGTATTTTCACAGTGGCCAATAAGAAACACAAACATTTTAAAGAAGTGTAAGATACACTATATTAAATTTTTTTTTTTTTGGTTTTTCGAGACAGGGTTTCTCTGTGGTTTTGGAGCCTGTCCTGGAACTATATTAAAATTTAAGAGCTCAGGGTACATTTAATAGAACAGCTCTTTAAATGTAAAATAATTATTGTTACTTAAATTTTTATGGGGAACAAAAACTTGTACCATTCTGCAAATGATACCAAAATGGCTTTTAGCTTCTCTTCTATGTGAATGGTTGGGGCTATAGTACCGACTTGAGAAAAGTCTCATAGAAGATTGTCGTCTTTTTGCTAAATAGACTGAAATTATTATTTAAGGATGGTCACAACCCAGCAAATTGGAGCCCCAGTTTCTGCAGCCATGACATTTCTTTCTCTTTTCCTTCAAGCTGGACAATTTGTCACTGATCAAACATATGTGATATTTAGACGAAATAAAGCTAATATAAAGCAGCACCCCACTTCCCTCTAAAGTTACACTTATCAAAAAGGGGAAAGAGATAGCACTAATCCTTTTGAAATTACACTGAAATCTTACTTAGAGCCTAGCATACCTGATTTTGATTGCAGGCATAGCCGTCTTGTTTATGGAGATTTGGTGGGCACTGAAAAAAATATTATCATTTTAGTTGATGTACAGCATATAAAATACTTTCAGAAAAATTTGTTTAATATAATAATGAGAGGGAAAGTAAATATACAATTAGGAACATTTAGAAAAGCACATAAAACTCCATTAATGGGTTATTTAATTTAATTATATCATTACTAAAATGAATAAAGTCCATGCAGTTAATCATTTTTACGGTTCTCTATTTACCAGGAGATGGGCAGATAATAAATAACGTTCACTTGTCAAGGAGTTACAAGCAGAAGGGGCTAAAATGGGCGGTGAAGGGAATGAATCGGCTTGCTGCACAGGAGTGGACACATTAAGAACTAATTTGTAGGACCTTTTGCAGCTTCTTGTAAACGTCAAATCCGCATGTGAAATGGGACATGTGCCTATGGGACACTTTACAGAAACAGGAGAAACAGGCTCGAACCACGGTGCCATCAACATAAGTGCTGTACCGCTGCGGCAGCTCTGACCTCTCACACCGGACGTGGACTAGAATGATCTATGGGGAAGTAGGGGTATTTTGGTTGTGTTTTAGCCAAATAATCTATCACACCATTTTCAAGTGCACTTCATTTTCCCCAACAGGTATCCAGGATAAGTGATGTCACACTTTTACGGAAAGGCAGGTGCCACCGTGTTGAAAGAGTTTGGACAAGGACTTCAAAACATAGTGAGACACACCGAGGTCCTCTTGCTTCCCACTTTCTCAGAAAAGGGCTTTTTAACCTAACAGTGTCTCTGGCCTCAATCCAGAGCCTCCATCCTTCTTCATCTGTATCCCCCTACTTGTCTTTTTGTCTCTCACACAACATCCTCAGATTCACTTCAAAACATCAGCTCTTTTCCTCAACTTCTACCATTTAATCCCAGGTTAGGCTGCCACGATTAGAACCTGGACTGTAATCTCCAACCGATGCCTCCCTGCTTGCACCCGCTTCCCTGTACTGGATCCCAGAGAGATCCCTTAAGACATAGACACTAAACCATGTTGGTAGCCTGCTCAAAAGTTTTCAGTAGCTCCCAAGTTCCACGTGATCTGCTCCTTCCATCCACAGCCCATTATTTCCCTGACCCCATTCCCAACTATCTCAACAGTTGATGTGACTCTGTGTGCTAAGCCAGGCATGCTGCCAGCCCACTGCCTGATCACTGCGGGGCTCACTCCATCTCTTCCGTAGGGGTTTGGCTCAAATATCACCCTCCCCAAAAGCCTCCTCTAACCACGGCCTTTAAAGTGGCAGCGCCCTCCCAGGCTTGCATTCTCTGTTCCCCATTGCCTACATTTTCCTTCTCCACCACACCTGCCACCAACTGACCAACCATGCATTTCCCCTGTTTGCTCACTTTTGTTCCCATAGCTACATGGGCTCCATGCAGGCAGGATTTTCTGTTTGGTTTCCTGCTGCACAAAGCAACATCAGGATGTGGTGGGTGCTCAATTACTACTAGCTGACCAAGAAAATGAATGGATACCCCATAGTGGTAAAATGGAGTTCTTTAATGTAGCACACATGGGGCTGTGCACTGAGCTTGCCATAGAAAGATGAAGGACTCATGCAGCGTTCCCGGGGAGCAACGACACACTATAGGACATGTTGCAATAAAATGGCAATTTGATATCTTCCTAAAGGCTGGAGCCCCTTACGGTTTCATTCACCACAGCTTTTCCCTCGGCCTGGTGCTGAGTATCTCAGGGATGCATTGATTGACACTAGAACAAACTTTACAAAAGCAGAGATTTCTGTGGCCTCTTCTATCTCTCTGAATTCTCTCAGAATACAATCATCATCTCATTAATCAGCTTTCATAAATTATTCACTTACCCTCAAACCAGTACAACCACTGTAAATAGAAATGGGGGGGGGAGGCACTTCTAGAATAGGCATGTCACTCTTATGATGTCTTGAAAGGAAAAGAAAGGAAAGGAAAGGAAAGAAAGGGAAGGGAAGGGAAGAGAAGAGAAGGGAAAGGGAAGGGAAGAGGAAAGGAAAGGAGAGAGGAGAGGAGAGGAGAGGAGAAGGGAGGGGAGGGGAGGGGAGGGGAGGGGAGGAGAGGAGAGGAGAGGAGAGGAGAGGAGAGGAGAGGAGAGGGGGGAAAAAGGAAGATTGTTTACTGAAAAAAATATCCTCATTTTAACTGTCACAGCTACAAGTGAGCCAATTTCTAATCCATCTGTTTTTAGTTGAGACTAAGAAAAGACAGTTGTTAGACAGGTGTGGCAGGGCACACCTGCTGCGGTGGTCTGAATGAAAAGGGCCCCATGGGTACATGTATTTGAATTCTTGGTCCCCATTGCTAAGTTTGGCTTTTATAAGTCAAGGCCCTGTCACAGTGATAGAAATTGAGACAGTCGGGAGGCAGCAATGGAATGCTCATGGCTAGCCTGAACTGCAAAATAACATCTTACCTCGAACAAACACACAAACAACACAAACCAAAAAAAAATCACTAAGGGCAGTTGCTCATCACTGAAATGTTTAGCAGGGAACCCCGTTCTTCTCACATCCTCTAAGGGTGTTCAGAACATAAGCAAATCTGGACACTTTCTTCCCGGAGTAAATCTGGGGAATCTGACCACCACTGCACCCCTGGCCCACCTGGGATGCCATGCAGCAAGATTCACCTGAAGCATTTCAACGGTGCTCATTTTAAATTGTGGAATACCCCCACTGATTACCAGCGCTTGCAAGGAGGGACCAATTCCACAGCTTTCAAATATCTTTGCTATGCCACTGTATTGTTTGCCAAGAATTTCTTTCAGTTGCTCGAGTATTGATTATTCTGTCATAAACTGTGCAGTGAAAAATAAACAAGGGGTTCAACATAGCTCTAAATGAGGTGCTGCCATCAAATCCCTCCCCTCAGAGCTCAGGGAAATCAACAGAAAAGAAGGCAGGAGTTGGGGAGACAGCGGCTGGAGGACACCAGGAAAACAAGGCCCCCTAAACAACTGAGCAAAGCTCACATGAACTCAGAGGCTGAAGCAGCAAGCACAGGTCCTACACGGGTCTGCACCAGGTCCTCTGTGTGTAGATTGCAGCTTTCAGCTTTGCGCTGCTGCAGGATGCCCACACATGTGAGCAGGTGGTCTCTGATGTTGTGTCTCCTGGAGCTCTTTTAGTTTCTTCTTGGCTTGGATTGTTCAATATGATGGTTTTTGTTTCATCTTATTCTATTTTATTTTGTTATGTTTTAAAACAAAGAAAAAGGAATTCAGAGATACAAGTAAATGTGAATATAAAAATGAATTAAAAACATGGCATCAAAAAGATAAGGGTATATCATTGTTTCTCATGGTTCTCAGGGATTGGATGGAGGAGGGTCATCTGTCTATGTGTTACTTTCATTGGATAATAAAGAGACTGCCTTGGCCTTTTGATAGGGCAGAAAATTAGGTGGGCAGAGGAGACAGAACAGAAGGCTGGGAAGAAGGGAAGTGAGGTCAGATCTCATGGAGCCAGCCGCCAGGTCGGACATACTGAATCTTTCCCGGTAAGCCACCAACCTCATGGTGCTATACAGATTATTAGAAATGGGTTAATCAAGATGTGAGAATTAGCCAAATAGGAAGCTACAGATAACAGGCCAGGCAGTATTTAAATGAATACAATTTGTGTGTTGTTACTTCGGATGTAAGGCTAGCCGTGCGGAAGCCAGGAAGGATGAAAAGCAGGCCTGCTTGCCCCATCACTACAGGGATTGGTTCTCAGGGATGCAAAGGTTCTATTTTCATAAAAACTCTGAGTATCAACAAATTTAAAATTCTTTGTCCCTTACAAAACAGAAAAAAAATATTATGGCTTTTATGTCCTTCTATTTCATCCACCTACTTTGGGCTCATTCTGATGATCAGATTTTAAAATTACTAATAAAATAGCATTCTATTCCAATGTGCCACTCACTGAAAGATTAATTTAGCAGTACAATTTTCACCACCAAAAATAAAAAAGATAAAAAGAAAAACAATTGCATTTCTTAGACAATAAAATAGGTTGAACAAAGAGGCCCTATTTTATTCTACTTGTGTGTAGAGGTGTGTGTATAGTATATCAGTACATGTGTATTGTGGTGTGTGTGTGCGTGCGTGCATGTGTGCACACTGGGCTCCATGTGTGCCTGTGAAAATCAGAGGTTGATATTGGGTATCTTCTTACCATACTTCACATGTATGTTTTGAGACAGGGCCTCTCACTTCACCTGGAACTCACCATTACCAAAACTAGCTGCTACGGTATTCTCCTGTGTCTGCCTCCTGTGCTGAGATTACAGGCATGTGCCACTCCTTCTGGCTTTCATGAAGATGCTGGAGATGCAAACCCATGTTCTCAGGCTTGCACGGGAAGCCCTTTATTGACTGAATCACTAGCCAGCCCCAGTATCCTCATTTCAAAATCCTTATTTCCAGCAAACTCTGTGGCAATTCAGGAATTAAAGATTGAAATTGAAACCTGTACCTCTAAAAAGACTGAAGATGATAGCCAAGGGAATAATATATTGCAGTTGTAAAAAAACAATAGTATTCTATAAAACTAACAACAAAGTTAAATTCTATGTTAGGATAGTTAGACTTGTGAAAGACAGAATCCACAGTTCTTGTACTCTGTCATTACACAAAGGAGTCTGCTAACACATCTGTATATGAGAGACGTGTAAGAAGGACACACATATAAAAAGAGTCAGGACATATTTCCATTTGCTATATATAATTAACAGATCCACAGGTAATAATATGAAGACCTTTTTAAAGGTTAGCTAGCATATTTTCTTTCTCTCTTCCCATGTTCCCTTTGAGCAAATAAAACTCAGTACAGTGTCAACTCTCTGCTCCCCCACCACCGGAATGATTGACTGATACGTTGGCAAATAATAATTAGACATTCTGAGCCAGAAAGTATAATATGGTTAGGAAACAAGCACTGCCCACCGCCTTGCCAGGCTGTGGAAGGCTGGCCTCTGCAGAAAGTGTACCCTGGAGCCAACTGTGTCAGTAACCTGTTACTACAATCCGAACCAGGATCTATTAAGAGACACATGTGGTCCTTGTATTAAGGTATGGTTATCTCTAGCTGGTCATTTTCATTTTTTATAGCATGAACTTTTGACATCAAATTGTTCTATATTCGTTGTGATCCCAGTGGAAGCCACTGTATCTTACAGCGGTTAAGTCCAGTCCTCGGACTTAACCTAAAGAGATAACCCTACTTGAGAGATAGTCCTACAAATACATAGAGGTCTTCCATACTGACAAAACAATGAAAAAACAGAAAATCTAATTGGTAACCTCTGGATAACAATCACATGATATATTTGCATCACATGACAATAAAACAACACGATAGCACAGGAGAGCCTTCGGAAGACACATTAGAAAGAAAATGAAGGTCAAACGAGATCTCAGGTCCTTTCTGTGGCGCACAGGCCCTGCTGGCCAGAACCCTGATATTCTTTTTTAAATTGTTTTTATTGGGCTATCTATTTTTCTCTGTTTCCCTCCCTTCCTCCCCCCCCCATCTACTCTCTCCCATGGTCCCCATGCTCAGGAGATCATGTCTTTTTCTACTTCCCATGTAGATTATGTATGTTTCTCTTAGGGTCCTCATTGTTGTCCAGGTTCTCTGGGGTTGTGAACTGTAGGCTGGATTTCTTTGCTTTTTATCTAAAAGCCACTTATGAGTGAGTACATATGATATTTGTCTTTCTGGGTCTGGGCTACCTCACTCAATATGATGTTTTCTAAATCCATCCATTTGCCTGCCAATTTCTTGATGTCATTATTTTTTCCTGCTGTGTGGTACTCCATTGTGTAAATGTACCACAGTTTCTTTATCCATTTTTTGGTCGAAGGGCATTTAGGTTGTTTCCAGTTTCTAGCTATGACAAACAGTGCTGCTATGAATATAGCTGAGTACATGTCCTTGTGGTATGATTGAGCATCCTTTGGGTATATACCCAAAAGTGGTATTGCTGGATGTTGAGGTAGGTTGTTTCCTAATTTTCTGAAAAATCGCCATACTGATTTCCAAAGTGGTTGTACCAGTTTGCACTTCCACCAGCCATACAGGAGTGTTCCTTTTACCCCACATCCTCTCCAGCATAAGCAGTCATCAATGTTTTTGATCTTGGCCATTCTGACAGGTGTAAAATGGAATCTTGAAGTTGTTTTGATGTGCATTTCTCTATGGCTAAGGATGCTGAGCATTTTCATTGGTTTGCAATTCTCTTTCTTAGTAATGTCTTTGTGTGGTTTTGATATCAGGTAATTGTAGCCTCAAAAAAAAAAGATTTTAGAGAGGGAGGGGGAGAGGAGTGGGGGGAGGGGGAGAAGGGTGGGAGGAGGGGGAGAAGGGTGGGAGGAGGGGGAGGGAAATGGGAGGCTGGGAGGAGGTGGAAACTTGTTTTTTGTTTTTTTTTCTTTTTCTTTTTCTTCTTTTCTCAATAAAAAAAAAGATTTTAACAATGTACCTTCAGTTTCTATTGTGTGGAATATTTTGAGGAGGTAATAGTTCTCTGAAAATCTTGTAGAATTCTGTGCTGAAATCATCTGGTCCTGGGCTTCTTTTGGTTGGGAGACTTTTGATGACTGTTTGATGTGGGACTCCCCTTTGTGTGCTGTGATTACCATTAATGAATAAAGAAAACTGCCTTGACTTGTTGATAGAGCAGAACTTAGATAGGTGGGGAAGACAGAACTGAATGCTGGGAGTAAGGAGGTGGAGTCAGAGAGGGGCCATGGAGCCCCACCAGAGACAGAACTTTAGCCAGTAAGCCACAGCCACATGGTGATACACAGATTAAGAGAGATGGGTTAAATTAATATGCAAGAGTTAGCCAATAAGAAGCTAGAGCTACTGGGCCAAGCAGTAATTTAAATAATATAGTTTCTAGAATTTTGGAATTTGCTTACAATATACTTCCTGTTTACTTAGGTAATATTATAGCCTTCTGGTGTCTTTGATAGAGTTGAAGAATTTATATTTATAGTTTTCCTCAGTTATGATAAAACATAAAGTAGATATAAATATTATAACTGTAATTCTTGCTTAATAACTGCTTTGTTACATGTAATTTTTCTGTGTTAAAGCTAAAACCTTTCTTTTTATTTAAATAGAAAAGGGGAATGTTGTGGGAGTCCCCTCTGTATGCTGCGATGACCATTAATGAATAAAGAAAACTGATATGGCCTGTTGATAGGGCAGAACTTAGATAGGCAGGGAAAACTAAACTGAATGCTGGGAGTAAGGAGGTAGAGTTAGAGAGAAGCCATGTAGCCCCGTCGGAGACAGACACCAGAACTTTAGCTGGTAAGCCAGAGCCACACGGCAAACACAGATTAATGGAGATGGATTAAATTAAGATGTAAAAGGTAGCCAATAACAAGCTAGAGCTAATGGGCCGAGCAATAATTTAAATAATGTAGTTTCTGTGTGATTATTTCAGGTTACAGGTCTATCTAATTTGCTTATCTGGTCTTGATTTAATTTTGGTAAGTAATATTTATCCAGAAAATTGTCCATTTCCTTTAAGTTTTCCAGTTCTGTGAAGTATAAGTTTTTGAAGTATGACCTGATGGTTTTCTGGATTTCCTCAGTGTCTTCGGTTTTGTCCCCCTTTTCATTTTGATTTTGTTAATTTGGATATTTTCTCTCTGCCTTTAGTTTGGATAAAGGTTTGTCTATTTGGTTGATTTTCTTGAAGAAAAAACTTTTTGTCTCATTGATTCTTTGTATTATTTTCTTTGTTTCTATTGTGTTGATTTCAGCTTTCAATTTGATTATTTCTTGCCATCTAGTATTTCTGGGTGAGTTTGCTTTCTTTCTGTTCTAGAGCTTTCAGGTGCTTAGTTAACTCACTAGTGTGGGATTTCTTCAGCTTCTTTATGTAGGCATTTAGTGCTATAAACTTTCTTCTTAACACTGCTTTCATTGTGTCCCATAAATTTAGGTATGTTGTGTGATCATTTTTGCTGAATTTTAGGAAGTCTTTAATTTCTTTATTTCTTCCTTGATCAATTGGTGATTTGGGCAGCATTATTTAATTCCCATATGTTTGTGGGCTTTCTGAAATTAGTGTTACTGTTGAATTCTAATTTTAAGCCACTGTGATCCAATAAGATAATGAGGTTATTTCAATTTTTTTTATATATCTGTTGAGGTTTGCTTTGTTACCTAATATGGCTCAATTTTTTAGAAGGTTCCATGAGGTGCTGAAAAGAAGGTATATTCTTTTATGTTTGGATGGAATATTTCATAGTGTCTGTTAAGTCATTTGATTCATAACATCTGTTAGTTCCCTTATTTCTCTGTTAATTTTCTGTCTGACAGACCTGTCCAATGGTGAGAGTTGGGTGCTGAAGTTTCTCACTGTTAACGTGTGGGGTTTAATGTGTGATTTAAGCTTTAGCAGTGTTTCTTTTACATATGAAGGTGCCATTGTATTTGGGGCATAGATGTTCAGTGTTGAAGGATTTTTTTTTCTGTGCCATATATGAAATGTTTTTCTTGGTCTCTTTTGATTGATTTTAGCCTGATGTCTATTTTGTTAGTTATTAAGATAGTTACACCAGCTTGTTTCTTAGGTCCATTTGATTGGAAAATTTTTTCCAACCTTTTACTCTGAGTTGATGCTTGTCTTTGATGTTGAGGTATGTTTCTTGTATGCAGCAGAAGTATGGATTCTGTTTTCATATCCAATCTGCTAGGCTGTATCTTTTTATAGGTGAGTTGAGTCCATTTATATTAGGGGTTATTAATGACCAGTGATTGCTAGCTCCTGTTATTTTAATTTTCACTGTTGGTGATGTCATTTTGTGTGTCTTCCCCTTCTTTGGGAATTGCCTCTGTGAGATCATCTATTGTCTGTGTTTTTGTGGATATAGCTAACCTCCTTGGGTTGGAGTTTTCCTTCTAGTACTTTGTTTAGGGTTGGCTCTGTTGCTAGGTATTGGTTAAATCTGCAGAACACTGAAATTCTTTTGAAACTTCTTCTACTATCCTCAAGCTTTGTTTGCTTTTATTCCACTTCCTGAAGAAGCCATGCCTCTGCAGTGACTGTCTGCACACTAATTCCTTCCACAGCGACTTCAGTACCGTCACCTCCAGGAAGGCTCATTTGATTGACCCAACATAATATCCTTCCACACTCTTCTTCACACAGAACCTTATTATATATGTATACATTTATACATACATACATACATACATATATATATATATATATTTAACTTGCTAATCTTTCTACACACAACAAAAGCCAAATTTCACTAGAGCAAGGACTGGACAATCATGTTCCCTTCCATGTTCTGGCATTTATAGCAGTACTTGGCAAGTAACTCCACAGATGTTCATTTGAATGGCAAATAAGGACATGGAATAGCATGTTATCAATAAAAAGCACAAAAATTATACAATGAGGGATTCAAGAAGTCAGTATTAATTACAGAGCTAAAATCATTTTAATGGGCCAAAATCGTGTCAAACACAGAGGTTCATAGCAGGACTATGCATGGGGACAGTGGGAGAGACAGTAAGTTAGAAGCTCTGCTTGCTCTTGGTCTCCTATATCAGCTGCCTTCCAAAATTTGTTTTTAAAAAATGTGTTCAAAATACTTGACAACAGCATGTAAGATGTGGGAGCCTAGAAGAAAAGGTTTATGAGTTGAGTATAAATCATTTAAAGATATATATGAAGGGGACATTCAGGGAAAAAAAGGGAGATGAAAATCCCAAAACACTATACCAAACTTACTGAAGTAATAGGTGTAGAGAGCTAGAAATATCTGGAGAACAAAGCTAAATAAAGAAACCAAAACGAGTTCACGCATATAGTCTTTATCAAAGGAATTAAAATGTGTGTTACACAATACAGGAGCTGAAAGTTTCCATACCTGGCCAGAGTCTCCAGTGCAGTATTCAGTGATATCACAGCTGTTTACGGCATCCCGACATTCATACCCTCGTGACTGAAACTGAAAATCAAAACCCAACATTAGGAGCTGGTGTTAACTGACTTTCCAAAAGGCTGCATTCTTATAACCACCAACAGTTCTACGCTTCATCATAATCATCACCCACCTGTCTCACAACTTAGTAAAATCATTGCAGGTTAGAAAAGAGGCTCAGGCTGGGCAGTGGTGGCACATGCCTTTAACCCCAGCACTTGAGAGGCAGAGACAGATGGATCTATGTGAGTTCAAGGTTAGCCTGGTCTACAGAGCACGTTCCAGGATAGGCTCCAAAGCCACAGAGAAACCCTGTTTCAAAATACAAAACAAACATAAAAAGAAGAAAGAAATGAGGCTCAGATGCTTGCCCTACACTAAAGAGCATCAAACCACTGGGTAAAGACTATGAAACCCACTGTCTCCACGTGTTAAGAAAACAGTGCAATGAAAATTATATAGAGAAGAAACACTGGTTTAGCTTAACATGAAGGAACAAAATACCATCATTAAATATTTAAGATTTTCCTGAAGGACTGATATGTATATCAAACCATCACTAATCTGTCCACTAGCTTAGTATTAATCTTGCTTTACATAAATACACCCAACAAAATTACAATCCATATGAATCCATATAAATCACCTTCAGTGGCGTCCATGACTGCCTATGATAAACAGAACATTTGTTTGTCTGCCAAAAGCTGGGCAAATATGAAGTCTTAATTGGCCTCAAGCAATATATCATTTGGCGGGTAATGTGAAGCAGCCACAAACTAGGCTGAAATCTTCTATAATATCATGATGTGAAACCTCCCCTGATATTGAAAAAATGTAATAAAATCTCATAAATTTTATACTTATCAGAAATGTCATGGATCTGCCATCTGAGAAAAAGAAGTATTAAAATGATTTTTCAAAAGTAACTAGCAAGTCAGTGTAGGTGAAAGACTCTGCACACACACACACACACACACACACACACACACACACACGCATGCACGCTTGCAAACATAGGTAAATACTTCCTCGTCTGGCTTTCTTGACTTTACAAAGAATTCAGAAAGTTGAATGGGTGCTGTAGCACTGGTGTTTCTACTGTGGGTCTAGAACTAAGTAGCATCAGGTTTGGAGAACGAAAGGCAGAGGCAGATTATACTATTTAAAAGACCAACTGAATTGTTCCCTTCTGTCTGACAATTTAATCTTCTCACCTGGGCTACTAGGACAACTTATTTAGTTTGGAGGATGTACAAGTACGCCCTCTAGAGGAAGCCTGGGAGGGGAGGGCGTGCAGAGTGACTAACAGATGAAACGCTATGAGCCTCAGAAGTTGGGTAGAATTACTGATTCTACAGCGTCGCTGGACTAACACGCATACATGTGTGTCAAGTCACTCAAAACCCCAGCAGACCTCTTGAGATGGTTGGGTAAATTGTCAATGAATGGGAAGAAAGATGAAACTTCCAGGGGACTCACAAGACACGAGGTGCCGTTGCAGCAGGGGCCGTCACTGCAGTGGGCCCCATTGGAGAGTGAGCATTTCTTACAGCAAACTCCATAGCATTCCTAGAGAAAACACTTCTCTGAGTAAAGCCAGGACAATGCCACTGCCCATCCAGCACCCCCTCCACGTGTAGCTTATGCAGCACATAACAAGACTTCTACAGACAGTACACTAGCATTGAAAAGGAGTGAATCACTTTAAATGAAGACAGAGCCCAGCCACACACCTCAGCTGACTGACCTCCCACAAATATGATGACTCCTTACCAGACCCCGGCCCAACACCCACACCTCTGTAACTCTATCATGTTCTTAATGCCCAGGTTTAGTTTTATGAAAGAAAAAAAAAACCCACACAGCATGGGAAAATGTTGATGATTCTGTAGAAGGTGCCTAAGATGAGTATGAGCCCTGAAGTAACATTTTAAAGGTCAGGAATTTGATTAGAACAATCCATTAGGCTTTTCAGACAAGGCCATACAACAACATAGCTCATTCTTATGTGTCTGAGCTAGGATGAAGCATTGATCAAAGTGGTCAGGAAAAAGGAAAGAATAAGGCAAGGACCCTATGACGAATGATGGCTGCTCACTACTGTTCTTGTTAACTCAGAGGAAGGCCCGCACTGAGAGTAGAGATGGTCTCTTATACTTACCACATGGAAACCACAGTCGCATTCCTCCCCGGCCTCTACGTATCCATTCCCACATTCTGTGGGCTCAAACAGCTGAAAGAGATGGGAGAATGCAAAGAGAGACATTTGAATTTATCACAGAAAATCCACACACCAACCTGGCCACAGGCACAGCTATGTCACCCGTTGTATGATTCTTCTATGATTTATTATGATTCTATGTTTCTTTTTACTTATGTGTATGTGTGTAGTGATGTAAGTGTATGCATACAAGCACCTGGGTAGACACAGAGTCCGGAAAAGAGCTCTGGGTCCCCTGGAGCTGGAGTTAGAAAAGGGTTGTGAGCTGTGCAGCATTGAGCAGAGACCCAAACTCCAGGCCACTGTTATATATTGTGTCTGTGTGGAGAATACTATCCACTTATTAGTAACACTCTTAAAACCATGTTAGAAAGGGGGGATCTCTAAAATTTCCTCAGTGGGGTCCCGGGAGATACCCTCCAGCATTAGAGTGACTTCTGATGGAGATAAGCCGTCAAGAGAAATGGATCACTTTTCATATTTCCTAATGAAGCAAAAATGTATTACTAATAAGACTCATAGATATCTAATTTGCTGACTTGACTGAAGACAGCTGAGAAGATATCAAAACTGTCAGAAAGACAAATACGTTTAGTAGAAGCCAAATGTGAGAATTACAATCAAGGAAATGCCAGTAAGCTTAGAACACTGTTGCCAGAGCTTCAAATCCATCACACTCACTGGAGAGAAATCTGCACTGTCTGGCACAAAGTGCCGCCATTGCATTTCCTGAATTACCTATGAGCAGAAAGAAAATGAATCCAGTAACCCGGGAGTTTCATTCAATTAACTATGTGCAAATCCATCTCTTAATACCCAATTTAGTTTCATAAAGAAAAAATTAAGTTGATGTATAGACACATGAATGAATACACAGAACTCTCTCAGTCATTGCCGTTGTCATAACAGAGGCAAGTTTCTAGAATATTCCCCCCTAGTGATGCCATGAACTGGTTTCTGGATAAAAACATAACAGAGCAATTGTTAGGGAACTTGATTGCTTATGACAAATGTGTCTATTTCCTATTGGCACAGAATTTCTCTGGGTCTGAGCACCTCTTGTGCATGTGTGTTGTGGGTATCTGGAACAGCACATCCCAACACAAATGCTCAAAGCCATGAACAAGAGAGGAAGAGCCTGTCCCCAGCAGCCATATACACTGTGGGCATCAGTTCCCTTCCACTGACATCCACTTTCCACTACCCAAGAAAGTCCTGGCTCTACTAGTTCCAGGAAGGAACTGTTATACAAAGCAAGGAAACATTCCTACCACACTGGATGGAGTCAATAGTATTGATCTCAGTGCTACTTAGATTTGCAGGCAGGAGAAAATAGAAAAGGTTGGAACAGCTAAAAGATAACCAACACTTGGTTCCAGGCTTCCCAGCCTTTCCTTCTTGGGCTCTTTCCCCTTCCTGAGATAGGCCACCATCTCAAACCAGTTGGAAATCACTGCAATTGGGAAGATTCCTAAAGCATGGAAAACATGCATATAAACCAAACAGAACAGCAACACACGCCTATGCATATAGCCACTGGCTGGGAACACAGAGAGAAAAGTAACTCTTGAACATACGCATTTAAACTAGTCACTGGAATCCATGGGGCCTTCTTTTTTTTTTAATCATTGTAACTTGTAGTTTAAAAAGAGAAAGTATCCTTCTGAAATTGAATATGTAAACATGGTTATTTTTTGATAATTGTCTTCCTGCGCACAGGTAACCTGAGAAATGCAATGATGGCTCTGTGTGTATATATCCTGGCAACCTTCACCTCCCCAGACAAGCGAATCTTGTTTCCTCAAGCAGCGCGCTTACAATTAGCTGGCAGCTGCAGGACAAGGTAACACTAACCATGCGCTGTGTGATTCAGAACTGCCAGCAGTTCCTATTAGTTCTTCATTACAGATCCCACTCATTTCAAACACCTTGGAGTCTTCTGGTTTCTGTGCCTGGCGGGCACTGCCAGGAAAGGCTGTTGGGCTATTTTATTAGTGCAAAGTAACTTTAAAAGTCTCAATTCTTTTTCTGGAATTTACAGAGCTTTTCTTTCCCTGAGATTTTACAGGGATGTCTGATCCTAGGCTTCCATTCCCTGACCCCAGCTGTATCGCTCAGCTGTGAGTATGGAATTAATTAGTCTATCCATTGTTTGTCTTCCTCACCATTTTTTTTTTTAAGAAAAGGTCGACATGATATTGCCACTCTTTACATTTGGAGAATATCGAACACTTTCCATGCAAATGAACTCCGCCTGACTCATGAGGTGTATTCTAAAGACAACACTGTCTTTTCAACTGCTGGTCTGCTTTATTTCCAAGCACGCTCCTATAAAAAAACACAGGGCTTTATGCAAAGGCTTTAGCTTGTCAGTTTGAGAATTCTGGGTTTAATGTCAAATATCTTACAAACCAACAATTTCATGCTTCCACAGCAAGACATAAATATTAACATCATGAGGACTGAATGAAGATTTTCAAAATTAAGGAGATTTGCTGTCAAACGTGTTTCCTGAAAACTCCTAAAAACCTCTTCTGGAAATGTGTATTTTTTTTTCTAATTTGTGGCTAAGGAGTTGCAATATTGTTTATATATATACCTATGAAATGTCAGTGACAGCTTGTGTTCCCAAGGGAAGGGGCTATGTAACAGAAATACTTATAGTGTTTACGGAACCTGTAAATGTTAGATCATTTGGGTGGGGTTGTGGGGGTGGGCTTGACTGACATCAGTAATGCTTCCTTCCTGGATCAGATCCCTCCAGAAGGTGGAGGAGTTGGGATTGGAGGGCAGACAGATGAGGCTCTCATGAGGAAAGGGAAAATAAGTCTCCAGAAAGAATGCCAATGTTAAATGAGATTGCTGGCAGAGAACAAACTCAAGTAAGTAAGGGCTTCTCATCCTCATTCCCCATCTCTCAGCGGGAAGGTGAAAACACTAACATAAAAATTTGGGGAAGTTTTTGCATTTGGGGGGACTCAGAAGTGTGCAAGCAAACACTGAACACTGATGCCCCATGTGATCTTACTCCGTCTTCAGCATGCAGAGGCTTTCTATAACTGAACATCTTCCCACAGTGGTTATAGCAGTTCCTACCTTAATTCTAGCATCCGGAAGGCCGAGAAAGGTAGATAGCTTGTAACGATTTATTAATCCATGTGACAAGAGACCCGTTTTCTGAGAGAAATCGCTGATGTTTGGCACATTCTTACTGTTAAGCATTGGGAAAAATAATTTCACTTCCCAAATGACTGACCTTTGTTGGCCTGTTGAAGAGGCAGGCCCCGCCTCCCCTTTGTAAAAAGTCTCGGTACTCTGAGATGCTGCACTTGGAGAACTTCCGAGAGTGGGACACCCTTAAGAAGCAAAGAATCAAGTGTGTAAGCAATTTCAGAAAAGCAATCGTAAGATAAGAAAATGAAAAGCCACTGAATGTTCACTCTGGGTGTAGACGAATCTGTACGAATATGGACGTGTGGACCCAAGTGTCTACATATATGAGGTAGAGTATGTAAAAGAAAGAAAAAGAAAAACCATCACAGAATTGGAGGCTTGGTTACTCCCCTTCCATCAACCCTCGTAAAATCTCTGTCTTGAAAGACAACTTGAAAGGGTTGCGATAGAACCTTACATGTAAGCTAGGTTTTAAAGTTTGATTATTTTTATTTATTACGTCTCAATAAAGGCAATCTTTTTCTTCTACTCTGTTCTGAATAAAAGGGGTTCATCAGTCCACTAGACCTTGTTTGTTGGAAGAGGGAGTCAGGAGGGTCGATTTATTAAAGACAATGTTACTCAGGCTTCAATAATTCAAATTTTAAGTAAATGAATAAACCCTGAAGAATGTGCTGGATCACACATGCATATGCTATCAGTGTGTATGCCCACAGCAAAAAGGAATTAAGGCATGTTCCCATGAGCAATGGCTCTTTATTCTTCATTTCAAATACAATTATTGAGCAATATTCATGATTTAGCATGAATAAAAAATGAACCTCTCTCTGATTTATTCAATCAAATTAAGACCCCTATGTCAGTACACAAGGGAATAGCATACACACGTCAAGGTTAAGCTACATCATACACGATGGTTCCTTGGGAACGTCTGCAATAGTGTCTGATGTGAGAGGCCGTTCTAGAATATAATGCAATAGTTTATGTATTCTGATATATGAGGGTACATATAGGATTAAAACTCACCTCTATTGACAGTGATGTCTTATAGGAAGTATATCAAATATATATCACATACATTAACCTCAAATAGTTTTCTTTATCTTTTGAGTAGTCAATCCAAAATTCATTTAGAAATCAACAGTTTAAAAGGCAATAATATTGCCATACAAAACCAACATTATAAATGGTACTGTCCTCTACGGTAGCTATTAAACCTGTATCACCATACAGGACTCGACCATGTGGCACAGTAATGTGGCTGGGGAAGGCAAGCATGTCCAGACGAGACTGCACTTCTAGGAAGACGTTTTGAACTCACGGGGATAACGGTTAAGTGTACAAACCTTCTCCTCTCCAGGATCTGGTAGAAGAAGAAGGAAGGGGCCCTGTAGAAGGAGGTGGCACCTTTGGTAGCCATTGCAGAACAAGGGTAGGACTAGAAATTGCCAGCATGCAGGTGCCCAGCCTGAACAACGAGAGCATGAGACACCTCTCCTCCTCCAGCTCCAGAGGCCTAGTGTCGGCCTGCACAGTCCTGTGTCTTGTGGAGACAGCAGTGGCCCCCGGAGCTCAGCACACTGATGCTAGGGAACAGCTGGTCCAGTTACAGAAGTGCCCACCAAGTACAACAGGTGGATTGATGTGGATTGTCCACCACTGCCCACCACTTGACAACTCTCTTGTTTAACCAAATAACTGAATTTAAAAAGCTCTGTTGACTCCATAAACAATATAGTACAAATTTATTACCATAAACATACATTTATAAGTTCCCAATAATATAAATAGATGACTGAATTGATTCTCACCGACTGCTTCTGGTAGACCATCTGCTTTTATTCTAAGTTTATTAAAAGATTAATGCCTCCCCTAAATGCAGAAGTGTTTAGTCATGTGACTCCTGTAAGGGTTAATAAATAAAAGTAGCCAATCCATTTCACTTTCTCCCCAACCTTAAATTAAAAATTAAAAATATAAAGTGAATTAGCACTGTCAGTTTTAAAATATCAGACAATTAATTACTGAATTTATACAAAGTGCTTAGTCTAAAAGACCAGTGCCTGAGAGACTGTGTCTCTAATTATTATATATGCAGCAATTTTTGCAACAGGCATACAGCAAATGCAAGAGTAATGCAGACTCACCCTGTTTCCTCCATGATGCAGCCGCCCCAGGATTCTGTGCATTCACATTCTAGTCCGGTGAATAATAGAGCAACAAAGGGAGGGAGGAAAACAAAGACAGGGCTTCAGTTTGCTCCAGCTCCTGCAAAACCTCCTCAGTGCCACTCTACACCACAGCAGCGCCCTGCAAAGCCTCCTTTATTTTCTCTAAATCAATGGCTCCTTATGCCTGCAATATAGTTTGCTTCCTAAGAAAAAACTTGGGCCTCTCTTTGGTTTTTGTAACTCAGACATGCCAATTAGAGTCATAAAACCCAATGCTTAGTTACAAGTATGATGGGCTAGAAACAAAAGGCTGGATTCTAATCTACAGCTAAGGAATAGGGAAGCCACTCAGCTCTTTTTTGGGGGGGGAGGTGGGGATGTCTGCTTCTAAAATGAAAGCCGTGTCTCTCTGCCTGTCTCCCGGAGTGGTTCCAGGGTCGACACAGATGGCATCCCTGGGTGATCTGAAAGAATACAGTACAATGTCACCAAAGTCCTTCAGACACCGAGCAGTTAAAGAAAGAAATTCAATTTGCTGGAGTCACTGCCAGAATCAGTCAGAGACTTGGAGAGCAATCTCATCCTGTGCTACTACACCATTCAATCCATTAACACCTCTCAGGTGACCCCAGTACTGGCCTCCAGGATTTTCAATTAAGTTATTAAACCAGGTGACTCTCCGTACTGATTCTGTGCTATCTGGGCCAGGTTCTACAACTTTAATGTGGTGTAACCACTGCCACGAGAAAGCAAATGTTCTGAGCAAGATATTAGTAAAGAAAGCTTATAGAGATCTGCAGAATGTTGCAGGTGTTGTCACGACTGTGTGCTTGGTCATTAATGTACTTACTCATAAAGGAAATCAAGCCTGTGGACACAAGATGCTGTTCCACTTCCCCACGGTGCTATATATTAACCACACAGAGGACAGCAAGCAAGATAATGCATTTTCCTTTTCTTCTCTGGGAAGGTCTCGGTGGGAAAAGAGATTCTTACTCCTGGCTCTCACGATTATAGTAAGAGGATGACGACTTCAGCTTATTTTCTCATTAAATGGACAATGGGCGAACATGCTGCTCTCTTTCTCCTCAAGGTCCTATTGTGATGTTTTGCCTTCTAACCACAAAAATTTTTCAAAATTATATTTGACTACTGCGCTAGCACAAAGAGGACTATAATTCAGGTAGGACTTTATCCTGCTTTTAAAAGAAATGAGGTGTGGGCATTAGCCTGATTTTAAAAAGAAATAAGGTATTTCCACAAGCTTCTAAATCTCTGATGGCTCTTACTACTCGGTCCACTGGAAAAGTTGGTTCTTTCCTTCCTTTTCTCATCTGGTCAACAAGAACATTGACCAAATGAAGTGATATCAATGACCACTTGTTTTACTTTGGTTGCTGCATGGGTCAGAGGCCATGGATGAACTCCCTCTTGGACCTACCTCTGAACCACAGGACTAGTCTGTCTGTCCCTCTCCACCCATCCCAATCTTAAAAGGCCAGTGGCAGGCTTTTCAGGAAGGGGGAGCAAGGGGCTCACCTTTCTGGATGTGACTATGTGGGGAAGGGTTGTGAGCACTCAAATATAAGACCCTTGTCTGCTAGACCTCAGCTCCTTCCCAGTCCACTGTATCTTTGATAAACTTGCCATGGAGCTGTTGCTGGTATGTGGTATCTCTGGTTAGGACTCAGAGAAGCGTATCAATCAACCACCACCCCACCTTGTCTCAACAGTCTCAATAAGAAAGAACTGACGAAGTATGAGCTTATGGATTTTGAAAGAGAAATATCTCCCACCTAAATAGTCTAATAATTATCTCAAGACGTTCAAGACTTTTTTTTAAAGGAATGACATAACACTATAATTCAACTACAGTGACTTAGGGCATAAAACATTCTCAATGACTGGGCATACATTACACAGACAGAATTACAGATGAACTCAAGTAAGAAAGTCAGGGTACATACTTGGCTTTCTACTAGAAGGTTCCCACTGGATTCCGAGGTTTTGAGCCAGGCTCTGAGACAATACTTGTGCCACTGCCATTGGAAGACCGTACTGGTTTTCCGAGTTGAAAGTGTGCGGGAAACATTTGAGAGAGTGCACAGGCACAGTTATTATTCCTTAGCGGTTGTCACTATAGTCCCTAAGTAGAGCTTTACAACATCTAAAGGTGGCATATGACTTGAATCATTTCCCCCTTGAGACGGTGCCACTAGAAGCATTGAGTACAGGAAGATTTTCACACGGAAACTGAAAATACAAGTCGCCAAGGCTGGGCTCCAACTGAACGTGAGCTAAGGATAAACTCAGTGCAGATATGGCAAGAAAGGTCGCCCACTGAGCAACTTTGGGGTGCTTCTTTCAATTAAGAATTTTCATAATAAACTTACTCAAACAATAATTCCATGAAAACATTTGTTATCATTCCTACGAAACTTAAGCAGAAAACATAAAAATGAAAATTTGCATAGAGAGACAAACTTTAATTTGTAAACTTTTGATATTAAGGAGTTAATTTTAATATATGCAGGAAAGTACTAAAAATTAAAAGCATCATAGGAAAAAGATTAATAGGTTTATAAAAACTTAACGTCTCAGCTATACAGGCCTAAAAACAAAATCTCTGAGCCTATTTTCAGGTTATTTTTATACTTTGCAAAACTACCAAGATGCTACCCAAAGCTATGATTATAAACTTAAAGGAGGGCTTTGGGCTCTGTTTTCTGATCTGTCATCCAGGTTACATTGTCAATGCCATCATTGAGAACATGCGCCATTATACACTGGGTCTTAACGAATAAAGAGGAGCAGTTGCAGAGACAACTCCGGCTAAAGAAAGTTACCTCATTTACACCGACCCCTCTCACACGAGAGCACACACCTCCGAAGTAACTCAGACTGCTTCTCTTGTAATGGAAAGTCACACGCCTTAGGAAAACAGAGCACCGTTAGAAAACACCACGTAAACACTCCCAACCCGCGTGCATTCTCCCACACACCTAACAGCCTGAACACCACCCTCAACTGGAAATCAAAACTGATTTAAAAATATTTCAATGCATGCTCTTAGAAACACACTGACTCTTTCTACTAGAGAATAGCTTATGCTAAATTATTATAAATTGATGGAGGCTGAGGAAGAAGTAAAAGGTAACGATGGCAAGGAAGGAAGGTGTTGCTTGGTTTGATTGCAGGACAGAACCATGGAGTCAGGTTGGAAACAGCTTTGAGAGGGGAAGAGGAAAAGGATAAGAAGGATAGGCCTCTTAGTGGTAGAAACACAACTGTTTTCAATGGTTCATCTAAAAAGGCATTTCCTAGACTTCCTACAGCCAGGTGTGGTCATGTGACTATGATCTAGCAAAGCCTGTCTCTGAGTCTGGCATTCCTGCTGCCTACACTGAAGACAACAGTGCCAGGAGCGTCTTGGATGGAGGATGGGAGCTCTGTGCTCAGACAGTAGAGTTAGTGGCCACAGAACCACAGCGTGCCAGCCCTGGAATTCCACCTCTCTGAACAGAGAAGGGGGCCGGCAGCAACACTGTAGAAGTCACTGCTCCCTGATACGTAACCTAACTGATACCATGCGGAGATAAAGATAAACCCGAGTGGAAACTGCAGTAATGTGGGTAGGAGCACATACGAGATGAGGTGGACCACATCAGCATGCTGCTTGATGCGCTGCCGGTACTTGGAGAACTCGTACAGCATCTGCACGGGGTTGATGGTGATGTCAATTTGATCCTTCTCGGTCCAGGTCTCTACGGCCACTAGGACAACCCTAGTGTTGAGCTGTTCCTTGTAAATCTGAGGGTATACAACAGGACAGGTGCAGGAGGAAAACACTGGGTCAAACAATCAGTGAGTCAGTCAGCGGAAGGGAAGAGGGGGGAGGTGAGAGAACACGGGGTCAGAATTAGCTAATCACACAGAACCGGCTTTAATTTCTCTTTTCCAAGAGCCAAAACAAAGAAGAAAACTCATACAATTAAGTATTCTCTACTCTCCTAAAGATTATTCTTTCTCTCAGTTGCCTGGCATCTTATGAGACGGATGCAGGGATGATAAGATTCTCAAGTCAGGACCTGCTCTGACAACAGGGTTCATCAAAATAACCTTTCCAAACCCCACAGGAGACGAGAAGCCCAAGCCTGACATAGTGACTCTACGTGCAATATAACCTGCAGCGTTAGGACAGTTCATCAGACGGTACAGCTGCCTTGCCACACAACGTAAGAATCCTCAGAGTGAGTCTCAGAGCTGAGGCCAAGAGAGGGGAACAAACAGATTTCCATCACCAATCTCAGCCTCACTGCAGAGTGGAATCCCTCACACACAGTTCGCTGTTCTTTTGTTCTCTCTACTTTGGGCCAAATAAATAACGCACATAGTTAAGCAGCTTCAGTGAGAGTTACCATGTTGTCTTACTTTTAAACTATCTAAGAAAACAAATGAATGGTCTTTGAAGCCACTGAATAAAGATATTATCAAAAAGTTGATGCTATAGTGACTTTACGCAAGGATGAGTTAAGTGTAATATACTTTTGCAATCAGTGATTAGCTTCGGAACTTTACAAATATGACACAAACTAAAATTAAATTTTGTAAAGTATGAGTCTACTCAATCATGCAGAAATTCCTGATGCAGAGATGCTGCCTAATAAATAGATTTTGCATGGGAGAAGGTGTATTTAAGATTCTCTTTTCCATATCCATCTATGCCTTTCCTGTGAGCAGAATGACAAGAGCTGAAATTAAAGAAAAGTAATAAGGCAGATGTAAACTGGCGCTCAGGGGCTCAACCTTAATTTTATATTACATATTCTATGCGCATCAACTCATATTACAATTTTGTCAGCTGTGCCTATGAGGCACATAACATATGCTAGGTGCACAAAATATGTTATGAATATTTACATGACGGGTGGTTTGGGGCTGTTTAAAAGGCAGATCCTCAGAGTGAGTAGCATTGAGATGCTCGGCAATTTATAAAAAAGATTTTTTTTCAACAGTTAAGAGGGACCATACAAAAAAAAAATACAAGATAAAAATATATTTAACCTAACAAAGTAGCACTTCACAGAAGAATACATAAATTCATTTATGTGAGTCAAATTGAATTATTTATCGGAACATAATGGATGAAATCCAGCTCTGTGGGGTTACTACCTAAGGCAGGAAACAAGAAGAAAATCTAAATGATCATTCTTTGGAACTTAGGAGGGGACAGGAAGGGAAAGGCACGTCAACAGTGAAGATACAGAGGGTCAGATCCCCTTTGAAAAAAGTAGACATTTTATCATTTCAAATTATTTTATGAGGTGATGACACCCAATTCTATCACCTAGAATACTAGAAATTAAGTCTGAAATATTCCACCATGGGAGAATTAAGATAATAAATACATGGCCTTGAAATTTTTATCTATCTTAACCCTCCAAACACATGCTGCCTCAATCCATTAGGACTTCTCAACTTACGCAAAATATTTAGGAAAAGCTCAAGTAGTTATTAATAAAGCCTCATTTGCGGAGGCTAATTTCCAGCTTTACAGGCTTCCTCCATTGCTCTTTATCCCCCACGGACTCCGGTACCAGCAGAGGCAATGCTATACAATTACTGTGGGTTAATAAAAATTTCTCACTGTTTAAGGAGGTAGCGATGCTACCTACTCTGATTTGCTCATTAGATATCGTACACATGTATCAAATTATTACACTGCACCCCACAGATACATAGAATTAAAATGAGAATTAATGAAAGTCAATAAGCTTAAAAGAAAGAAACAATGCTAAAGTATCTTGGGGATTCTGAGAATTCTAAAGCCCAGAATACTTTTCACAAAGCTTATCACCTGACAGTTTATTCACCAGGATATGAATATGAATATGTATAGATATGTATGTGAAGAAATTTTTTAATTCATCTAAGTAATAGCTAACATAATCAGTGAATAGAAAGAAGGAAGCACAACAAAGAGAAGTTTCAAGAAAACCAGGCTACTTACAGAATCTACCAGGTTGACCACAGACTTTGCGAAGTTGTTGGTATGCGCATGAGAAGAGCGGTGCTTCTTATACTGGAGAGCAAGAAGATAAACAGTCACTATCAAATCCTAATTGACGCTATGAGCAGAGACCTCTGCGGGATACTAGAAACGTGCATCAAAAGGTCAGAAATTGGTTTGGGCCACACTGGAGACAGTGTTGCTTTTTTCTTCTTCTTCTTCTTTCCCTACAACCCAAACCAAGGAAGCAAAACTATAAAATACTCATGATATCCCAGGGCCTGAAGGAGCCTACAGAAGTCAACCTCTAATTCAGTCTTAAAAGCAACCTATTTGGCTCTTTTGTTTTTATAAAAATGAATCTTTACCATCTACAAAGGGCTTAGACCAAAACCCGGTCTCAACGGGACAACTTCCTCACTTTAAACTCAAGGCCATGCACGGGTCAAGACCATTTCTTTTCAGGTAGCTCTCCAGATATTGTCCAAGACAGGGAAGAATTTGCCTTGCATTCAGTAAATCCTTCATGAGGATGTCACTCTGAGAGCAAGCCTTAATTCTGGATGATCAAAGCCAAAGAAGAGCTAAAAAGTCAAAGAAGTATGCCAAACAATACTGACTCACTATAATTATTTAAGAAAACTTAGCAAAAGTGGTCTATATGTCAATATGTGGGCCTGGCATAGTGATGTGCACCTATAATCTCAGCACTTGGGGGACAGAGGTAGGAAGAGCCCTTGAGTCTAAGAGTGTAAGAACAAGGCCCTGTCTCAAGAACAGAGCAAAACATCTATGGGCATTAGTTTGGGTTTGGGGGAGGTTTGGTTCTGTTTGTAGTACAGGAGACACAGCCCAAGACTTCATATTCTACCACTGTGGAGCAAATGTTCTACCATTTTACTCTGCATCCCCACTAACGGGCTGCATTTTTATCAGGAAGTCGGATACTTTACTTAACATATGTTGAAGAGGAGGACCTCTGAAAGCTCAAGTCTGCTTTAGGAGCACCATGACCGCAGCTGCTCCATGAGGCTATTGCTAGTTTTACAACCACAAGAAAAAAATAAAAACATGATTTAAACCAATGATTTTTTTGTACTATGCAAGTCTTTGAAATTTATCTTCAATTATAGTTATTAAATCAATTATATCTATCAGAAAGATTAAGTATATTTATAATAAAAATCACATTTTTCTCCTCATATAATCTTAGATACTTCCCAAAGACGTTACTTCTGAATACCACAACCATGTGAATTTGAAAACTGTTCTTATCCCATGAATTTCAAAAGACACGTTGGGACCAGTGCAGGAATTCTGAACTGTGATTCAGAGGTACCAAATGTGAATGGCCTGCTTAGTACCAAAGCAAAGATGCCGAGTTCACAGTTAGTTCCCTGAGTACGGAACTCAGAAGTCTAGAGCTCTGAAGTAAGGGCTGGAAGATCTCACGTCATAATCCTATTTAAAGACTTCAAGCTGGAAGCTGTCAGTCAGGAAGGGCCACAGAGTCCTGATTCAACTTAGAAGTTGGGGCTGGAGAGTAGGCAGACTCATAATCTGAGAGGTCAGCTATATAATAGTTAGAATAAATAGTAGAGAAAGGACTGCTGTCTTAGAAACCAGAAAAGAAGAAAGCTGTTCAAAAAGGAAAGAAAAAGAGAGAAGGAGGGAGGGAGGGAGGGACGGAGGGAGGAACAGAGGGAGGGAGGGAGGGAGGTCTGTATTCATTGATGCAGGGAGAGGAGGAAGCTCAGGGACAGTGACTTGCTGGGTTCCCAGCCTCACAGAGAAAACATTAGTTTTATTAACTTGAAATCCCATTTCCTGGGCACCTAGGATCTATGAACAACTGTCTCTCCTTCAACACAGCTTTATGGAAGTGAGATTTATTAATCCTCAAATAATTTATCTTGGATCATGGGACTGAAAACAAATTTGTCTTATTCTGAGCTGGAAGATGAGATTAATTTATTCAGTTAATAATTCTTATGAAAGAGTTATAAGCTACTGTTTATTAAATAGCCCCAACAAGTCAGGATTACTGATAAAAATTTGTAATTTGTTTGGTGCATAAAAAATACAGTGGTTTTTAAATAAGGAAAACCAAATGAGGTTTTAATTGAAAAAATATTTGAGTCATCATTGATTTTCACTTACTGGTTCATATTTAATAACACAGCAGTAATGGAAGCAAAACACTGGCTTTGCATGTGCTTTCAAATATCTCAACCAATTTTTTATTAGGCAGTTTTTTAATATTTATTTTTAGCTTAAGCAGCTCAAAGAAATGTTTGCAGACTGTTATCAAGCTATAATTGCTCACAAATTCGGTTCCGCCAGCTAGGTACCAAGATGCTGTCTCCAAATTTGAGAATTTTTTTTTCCTTTCTAATTGAAAGCCACTGATAATTGGGCTGCTTGTTCAAAATACGATAGGTGCAATTTTTCAGGCAGCCAATATTAAAGAGAGGAGCTTTAATGCAAATGTAGGCAAAATGTTTCCATTTCCTGCATGAATGAGAACTAATTTGGCAAATAAAGAAAAATGTACAGGCTCCATTTATGATAGAACTTACCTTCACATTTTCTGATCACTGAAAACCATTTCCATTTAAACCAGCAAATTGGCTTTCACTTCCTGAATAAATGAGCCCCTTAAGAAATGTGCCCTTTTGAAAACAATTAAAGCAGAACCTTATTTTCAACCCAAAGGTAAGAATTATAAAATCCCGCTGACTCGTACAGTACAAACACTGCAAGAAGGGGTTTCTGACGGGATGGTCACGCTAAAGTCTCCAGGCACAGGAAACTGAGAGATTCACTTAGCCCAGCTCACTCTGGCGCCCAGAAGGGCGGCGCTCTGCTCCCTACCCAGTCACTGCGTTTCTGCAGCGATTTATATTGCAAATCTTCGCTTGATAGAAAGATTTCCTCCAGAAGAGCTTTTCTCAACTCCTATGAGGGTTCTTAAAAATGAATATTCATTCGGGACGATGACAGAACAGAACGCAGAATGCAACCTGGTCTTGAAGCAAGGGGAACATTTAGCGCTATTAGTCCATAGCAATCATTTTTCAAATGCCAGAAACTCTCAGTCTGTTTCATTTTATCCTGGGAATTATCACCATCCAAAATTCAAGGCTGTTTGTTTGTTTTCATTTTGAAAATATATCTCCCCAATTTACCATTAAAATATCATGCCCAATTCTCATCCAATATAAATTTTTGTAATGCAATGAAAACCCAACCTTTGTTGATTTAAAGGCTTAAATTCTTTTTTAATTAAAAGATATGCACTGTTGAGAAGGCTCAGTGAGGAACGCTTGCCTCGTAATCCTAACAATAGTTTAGTCCTCTGAATCCACATTGAGAGAGAGAGAGAGAGAGAGAGAGAGAGAGAGAGAGCCAGAATTGATGTCAGGCATCTGTAATTCCAGCACCCTATGGTGAGGCAGGGAGTGGTGGCTGACTTGCCAGCTGGTCTGGAGCACAGCACAGCAGAAGCAACAAGGAAGAAGAAAAACACTGATCCCTGAAAGCTGATCTCTGACTTCCACACCATGAATGCCTACAACCATGACATCATACACACACACACACACACACACACACACACACACACACTAATAACAGTGGACAAAACAAACCTTTATAGAATTGATGTTCTCAGCTACTCATGTGGGCAGAAAGCACATGCACTTTGCACCTTCAACAGTGTGGTACACAGCTTACTTATTGTATCCATACATTACAAGGTCTGTATAATGGACGTTAGGGAAAGCTCAAGCTTCTAAAGACATAATTTCACAGCATGCACAACCATCAGGTTTGAAAAGTAGTTGGGAAAACCTCAGCCTGCAAAAGGGGCTAAGAGGGAGACGCCCCCCACCCCACCCCAGCAACCTTCAGGAACTCCAACTTGAGTCTTTCCCAGAGCGAGTCACCACCTAACACTCGGTTCTCCTTACCAGGAACGACTTTCAGGTATATGTAATTCTAACAAATGTTCCTTCTTTCTGGCATATCTCAAGAAGTTTATTTAAAGACTAGCAGAAAATTAAGCCTGTCTACAAAAATAAAAAGAATTCCATGGGGAAAATTATTTTCAACACAACTGAATTAATATTTAGTAATTAATGGTAATTAATTTGAACATCCTTTAAAGTAAAAGACTCAAATAAAAGTTTCAATGTACAGTAAGCCTTTGTCATGTACAGTCTCAAGGGTTTCTCTGAAAAGACTGTTGACTACAACTTCATGTGGTCAGCTTAGTACAAAGTACAATTTTATCATAAAGTTTAACTTGGGTTTTCATAAAACAAGGACTTACTACTGTTTAAATTTATATTTCAATATTTTATAAGATTTTACTCATAACTGATGTTTAAATATTTTTCCAAAGTTCTCATCTTCATAATCTTTCAAAAATATAACTCCATTTCTGTAAAATCAACTAAAGTCAATTAATTAGCAATTTTTAGGATTAAACTGCATAACTATAGCAAAATAATCTCTGGCCTAAAGAGTTTGGAGATTGCAGAAGAAAAACTCAGTCACATCCTTACCTAGCTTCAAATCAAGAGTTTCACTTCAATGGCTTGAAATCACACACCACGGGAACAGGTAAACACTGGAGATGAGCCAATATTTTAAAAGAGTATCTAAAAATCTCAAAAATGACTAGGATGCTCAAATGGAGAGTGGTGGTTTCTGCCCATAATTCCCTTCAGCGTTACCGAGTGCAACATGTTTCACTTTTACAGGTGCAACACAAAGTTATTTATATTGTCGATATTTTGTAAAATAAAACACTGATTTAAAATGGTCTCCTAGATAGACCTTTAATTTGTTTGTTTATCTGTTTTTTCATTGCTAGGGATGGAACACACACACATACACACACTGTGTATACATACATATATATATATATATATATATACACACACACACACACACACACATAGTATGTATGTAACAGGAATGTTTTATATGACATTGTATAAGCATTTTATTGTATTATCTCTAAAGCTGTTGTGCACAGAACAAAGGCATGGAACAAAATAATGAATCAGTGACCAAACACCAAGATGTGAAACGTAGACAGTAAGCATTTTAAACACAGACAAGTGATAAACATCATATTGGTAAATATCCCCATTGTAATCTCTATTAAAGAGATAAATTACAGCTGTAAAAATTAGTTACTATCTCTTTGTCATCTAGAACACAATGCTCTGTTAGAATCACCAAAAGATTGTGTCTAAATATAGGTACTTTATTGTTACAAGTAACAGCTAAAGTGAAATGCATTTTTTGTTTCACAAGCTATTGGGTATCTGTGGTTGCTTGAATGAGAATGTCCCATAGGCATATGTTGGTGGAACTGTTTGGGAAGGATTAGGAGGCGTGGCCTTGTTGGAGCAGGTGGGTCACTGGACGTGGGCTTTGATGCTTTAAAAGCCAATGCCAGTCCCACCACCCTTGCCTCCTGCTTATTGATCAAATGCAAGCTCTCAGCTACTGCTCAGCATCATGCCCACCTGATGATCATGGACTCGCCCTTTGAGGTTGTGTGCAAGGCCCCGATTCAATGCTTTCTTTCATAAGTTGCCTTTGTCATGATATCTCTTCACAGCAATAGAGCAGTGACTAGGACAGCATCAATTCTATAGTCTTACCGTCTTGTGATCATTAACGATCATAAGTTCCAAATACTTCATTTCTTCAAATACACCACGTGACGGCTAAAGAAAATAAGAGATGCATGGTCAGAATAGTGATTGCCATAAAGCATCTCTATTTTTCGGTCACATTACAGGGAAGCCTTGGATTTCAGGACTCTTCGTTGCCTGTAGTATAAACACCCAAACCAGAAGCCTGGTGAGGCAACTGTGCATAGGTGACTAGAAAGCATCAGTGAACAAACAAGAATTTAGAAAAGACAATTTCACTATCTCTGCTCACCGAAATTGGAAACAGATCATGTTGTTTCTGTCTGTGTAGTTTTCTTCTGTATGAAATTAATCTAGAGGAAAAGATACTATGCATATCATAGTAGCCAAAAGTAAATAAACTTCCCTTTCTATGGCATTAAATGATAAAATATTCATATTTACTTAAAATGTCAAAGGGAATTTAAATTCATTTGATGAGAACATCATGCATCTCTGAAACAGGAATCTACGTGGTAAACAAGAACTAGAAGAATGGAATAGAAGTCTAGTAACAATGTACCAGTTCCCAGCCACTAACAGGAATGGGGGCTGGCAGGTAACACTTTAGGACTAGAGGCTGTTGGGCTTCTCATTCACATGTATTTCTTTTTACAGTTGAGAAGTTAATATGATGGTTCTTTTCCTTAGTGTACACAGTAACAGGTCCATCTAGGGTAGAGGGTAGTAGAAGGGAAGCTGTATGAGGCAGCTGTTCTTTCAAGAGGAAGCAAAGATCACTTAAGTGAACATAAAAATGTTATTCATGGTTACCATAATACCAGTATACACTATGTAAGAAAATGATTCAAACTTGAACTAACTTTTAGATCGCTGGGGGGTCTAATTAATTTAACACAAAAAATACATTCAACTAAGTATTATCTAAAATGTGTAATTTGTGCTATAATTACTCATTAAGTTATCTAGAGAATTACCATGTAACCTATAAGCTGTAGAATTAATTCTTGGTTAGATGGCATTCACCATGTAATTACCGAACAGTCCCACTCATTACAGGCTTCTAATCTACTACAAAAGCCTATGAACATATTTAGTTACAATGCCACTAGGCATTTATTAGTGCACAAAAACATACAACAGTAACTGGTTCTATCACTTCCCGACTTTTATTTAGCCCCTGTCTCATCACCAATAGAGAAATAACTTTCAGCCATTCTGTTCTGAAAAGCTCATCCAGCTCTCAAGTTTGGTGTAACCGAGTTCTTCATTTTTCATTTGCAAGGAAGACAAACTTGATTGGCCGATATTTCAAAACCCAACTTTTACTAATTTTTAACAGAAATGTTTTATATGACATTGTGCAATCAAGATTATCTCTAAAGCTGTTGTGCACTCTCTTGTTTGTTGGCTTGTTTGTATCGGGAGGGTGAGCACACACAGAAGCCACAGATTAACTACTGGAATCAATTCTCTCCTTTCACCTTCCGTCCCAAGGAAGGAACCCTGGGTATTAAGCTTCACCTGTTCAGTCATCTCAGCAGCCCTACTGTGGTTTTCAATAGGAAAACATGTACTCCCATTTTTATAAGAAAAACACACTGAAAACAAAACTAAAACAACACATGTTTTTCCATGACATCAGAGCTCACAGGACACTCTTATCAGTTTGAATCATTAGTAGGGAGAGAAGAGTAAACAGCATTGTGTGAGAGATGCTCTTGAGACGGAGGCTGTTCCCTGCAGTCTTTGTTCCGAAGGGGAAAGTCTAGACAGGGTGGAGCAGACTCCCAAGGGGAAAGGGGAAGCCCGCGGCCCCTGCCACACTCACACTGGCTGCTCTCTTCCTTCTTCTCAACCACTGTAATTCAGGTAGCAAAGGCCACTGGTCACTGCCATCTGTGCCTGTGTAAAAGGAAAACGAGCATCAAATGGATTTTATTACATGAAAGAACAGCACCGTTAATAATCAATGTCACCACAAAGCCAAAACAGCCTGTAGTGAAACCGTGCATAGACTGTTCAACATTTCATGCTCACAAAGACAGCTCAAAATCTATTTTCCTCTAATCTTAAAAAACATGAAGTGTCCAAGGTTGATCAGGTGATAGTTGTTTGACCTACAACCATTTAACAACATCATATGAACTCTACTACACAGTCCCAATTTATTTTAGAATTTAAAATGATATGTGGCATAAAGTTTTGTATAAATTATGAAAGACTCTGGGCATTAGTATACAGGCATAGGCTCTCATGCCCACAGGAAATCAAATGGAGCCTTTGCCCTGATTAAACAGCTACAGATGCTCCGAGGGCAGGGTGAAGAGCGGAGGCAGCGCAGAGTGACGGGGAAGCTAACTGCAAGCATGAACGTCCACCCGGTCAGAAAGCAATCATTAATTTAGATTTGGCTACACTCAGGTTCCCAGCCCAGCTTCATGCCAGAGATTCATTTGTCATCACCACTGAAACATCTCTCGCTGTCTCATCCCACGCAAGGCTCAGCTGGGACTCCACTCCCCACCCACGCTGCCGATCTCAGCTCTCAGACCAATTTCCCTTCCCAGCAAGGCTGCACGACTCCAGCGGTCTGTCAAGTCACAGCCCGCAGCACGTATCATGACTGTTTTAATTAAAACTTACTGAGATTCTTCATCAGCTTAGAATATTGTCCTGCCAAGGTTTTCTGGATTATGTGCGGTCGGCCTGTGCTTTTCTGAAACAAAGACAATTGTAGGAAATGGAGAAGTGAGACATGAAGACACTGGACATCAGTGTTAGCAGAATGCTTTCTCTAGTAGCCTTCTACCGTGGGGGGGCATTGGTTATCAGAAGGAAAAGGATATGCTTGTTGATCTTTAATTTTAAATAAAACAGTGCCCTTCAACCGCCCCACTTTAGATCGAAGCACAGTTTTCTCAGTTGCTCTTGTATCTCAGCTTCTTTCAAAGCCCCGAGTGGGAAACTCATAAAGAAGGAACAGAATGTCCAGCAGCATGAGGAAAGGTTGGTGCTTTACTATGCTTTTAAAACACAAACTTCAGAAAGTTAGAACAGCAATTTTCCCACCAAGCTGTAAATGATTTAAAAATTACGACATCCATAGTTAATTACAGCTACAAGGCAGAACATACGCACACATCACTGTAGCATCGTTTGAGAAAGATTTTGAAAATATCCGTAAGCAGCCTTGAAGCTACTCAAATCCCTCGCCTAGACATGACACTGACTCCTTATCATTAGCAGTGGGAGCAGCTCTGAAAGCGGAGTGCCGAGTGCCTGCCAACCAGCATCGATGTGTGTATTACCCAGTTTGTTCCCAACAGGAAGCCCAAGTGGTCTGTATTCTATCCCTGCCCTTGTGCTTTCTGTTGCGGTGAGAAAACACTGACCAAAACCCATCTGAGAAGGAGAGGGTTTATTCCAGCTTGAGGGTTACAGTCCTCAAGAAGAAACTGAGGGCAGGAGCTGAAGCCAGAACCTGGAGGCAGGAACTGAAGCAGAGACCATGGGGGAGTGCTGCTCACTGCCTGCCCTCCCCTGGCTGGCTCAGAAACCTTTTTATACAGCCCGGATCCCTATTTAATTCCACCAGTCTAGGGATTGTCCCACCCACAGTGGGCGTGGCTATCCTACATGAATCAGCAATCAAGAAATGCTCCCTAGGCCATGCTGAAGGAGACAGTTCTTCAGATGAGCTTCCCTCTTCTTAGTATACCAAGTTGACAGCCTAGATCAACCACCGCATTTCTGTTTAACGAATAAAAATACTGAGATTCAGAGAAGATACATGATTGGGTTAAGTTGTGCTATGAAACGATCCAATCAATGTATTTAAAATATATACAGAATTGTCTAATTGAAGGTTATAAGCCATTATCTTTGGGGATGGTATGGTGGATCATTACTATTTAGTTAAGTATTTTGTTTTTCAAATTGCCAAATATATTACTAGATTTGGGGGCTTTTGTAATATTGATAATAGAACCCAGACTCTCATGAATACTAAGCAAGATCTGGGCCACTAAGCAATCCCTAGCCTGTTTTTTGTTTTGTTTTGTTTGGTGTTGTTTCTGATGTTCATTTTTGTTTGTTTGTTTGTTTGTTGTTTGAATTTATTTGAGACAAGGTCTCACTAAGCTTCCCAGGCTGGCCTTGATCTGACCTTCCTCTTGTTTCACCTTCCTGTGTAGCTGGGATGACAGACATACACCACCACACTCAGCTAATACATTAGTTTATGATCATAAAAATATCTATTAAAAAGGCCCTTCTTATTACATTTGATTACATATTGAAAACAATAATTAAGGACATTGCTATTTACTTTCCATTTGCAACAGAATGTGAATTCTCACTGGAACTATCCTGTCCATACTTCTAACTTACTACAAAGTATGCTAAAATTAATAGTAATAATAATGTGGCCATCCAAAAATCCAAATTCTCTTTCGGTCAGCTCTTTATTCTGGGAACATAAAAAGGCACCTAGCATAGGGAAGCTTACTTCTGAATTGCAATGCGATTTTTACAACTAATTTCAAGATTCAAGTTCTGCTCCTTTGCCCCCACCCACAGTGGAAACGAGAAGAAATCATTTGTGAACAAAGGGAGGCAGTAAGAGGCAGGCAGGGAACTGAGGATAATAAGCTCGTAGCCATCAGCCTGAAGCAGAATAATGACAGCTACGGCAGTGAAGAACCAGTTCTTTAAACATTTTGATAATAAGAGTTTACATGTACATAAACCCTTTCAGCAGTTCAGCGGATACTGCAACACATTTATGAATTCACCAGTCTGCAAAAATTGTCCTATTACAGATGCGCTGGAAATTACCTCATTTACACATTTTTAAAATGAGAAAGCTCAGAGAACTATCTTGGACTTATTGTCGTTGCTTTCTTCGGGGGTTTCTTTGGTGAGGGAGGTAAGAGAGAAGTTGATCACAGCTGAAATCAGGTGTTCTGCTGAGTGTCTGACAGGTTTGCTGCAGTACGGTTATCTGCCCGCTCACAGGGCAGGGAGAGCGTCTGCTCGTCAGGACATATTAATCTAGGGTAAACTGTCATCCCTGCCTAGAAAGTTTTAAAATTATTCATCAAAACCCATATAGGCTTGTTCAAATATCACCTTGTACAATTTAATGGCTTTTCTGTCTCAAATTTGAAAGTTTGTTCCACAGTCATATGTGAGTACATGTGTAAAGGTATACACACACATACACACACACACACATACACACACACATACACACACATACACACACATACACATACATACACATGCACACACATACACACACATACACAGATACATACACACACATACACACACATACACATACATACACACACATACACACACATACACACACATACACACACATACACATACATACACATGCACACACATACACACACACATACACAGACACATACACACACACATACACACACATACACATACATACACATGCACACACATACACACACACATACACACACACATACACATACATACACATACACATACACACACATACACACACATACACACACATACACACACATACACACACATACACATACACACACATACACATACATACACATACACACACATACACATACACACACATACACACACACATACACACACACATACACATACACACACATACACACATACACACACATACACACACACATACACATACACACACACATACACAAACATATACACACATACACACACACATACACAAACATATACACACACATACACACACACACACACACACACACACACAAGAAAACAAATGGTGCCCTTTTTTGTCAAAAGCCTAGATGTTTGCTTGGAGAGGCTGCTCAGTAGTTAAGAGCTCTTGTTGCCCTTACAGACACAGGCTCAGTTTCCATCACCCACATGCTACCTATAATCCTTTGTAACTCCACTTCCCGGGGCTCTGATGTCCCTCTACCCACCTCCTCAAGCACTGCACACACGGAGAACACTCATACATATTAAATAAATAGACAGACAAATAGGTAGACAGACAGATAGATAGACAGGTATGTGGATAGGTAGATGGATGGATTGATGATGGATAGATGGATGAACAGATAGAAAGAGAGAGAGACATATTACTAATTCCTCACTGACTACCATAGTCTTAAAAGAAAAAACTTTAATGTTCAATCTGAACATGGCGGCACACACAGAACATTCGGGAGGCCTGGACAGTATAATGACACCCTGTGCCCCACCAAAATGGTTTCCTGCTCTCCATCGAATGACTGCATTATTGTGCCCATCACTCTCAAAATATACCTTCCTTCGATATCAGTTGCCTCCCCTGCTGTGACCTCACCGTGTCTTCGCCTGCCAATTTCCACTTTATCTGAACAGTCAGGTTTCCTAAAGACGGCATAACACAGCAAGCAGCGCCCATCCCAGGGCCTTCGTAACCACCTCACGGCTCTGGGAGTTTTGATTCCCTGAAGGCTTTTACTCAAGATCTCCCCCACACACACTCACAGCGTGGTGGCCCATTGCTGTCCGCAGCGGGTGTCACCGTCTGAAATACGTGTGTGACCTCTTACTCATTTTTTTGCACCCCTGTTCATGAGTCTCGGGCCATCAGTTTTATCATGAATGTAAAATGTAGCAAGCTCTCCATATAATATTGGTGTCTACACATTAGACTTTAGAGCTGGTAACACTGTCAATGAACAGCTTGGCTGGAACACGGGGTTTCTGATGATGGCTGCTGGCCTAAACAGGATGAAGCACTGTTTCCTTCTCCGTCTCTATTTAACTGTGTGCTGCATCAAGTAGTCATTGCTCAGACCACAGATTTCCCCACTAAATATTTCTAGGAACAGAAAGTAAGTATATTCTTAGACAATTATCTAAAGAAGGTACTGGAAACGAAAGCTTGTCTTATGGGGTCCAGTGCAAAGCAAAGGGCCTCCCTGCCCTCTCTAAAGACCAGAAAGAAGAAGCTTGCTTCAGAATGCCTCAGTAATATACCTCTGTTCTGCCGCCACTGGCACAAGGGTCTGGCATTGTGCTGTCTAAGTCTGAAATCATACAACATGGATAAATGCTCTGGGATGTGTTCTACCTTCACCTGATATAAGAAAATTGATGTCACAGACCCACCTCATCATGAACGAGCTCCAACGGCTCTATCATATACATGAAGGTGTTGTCCTCAAACATGCCGCTGCAACACAAGGCATCAGAAAGACAGTCAGCAAAGGGGCATCTCAGCGGTGCCTTCATAGTCCCACATGAACTCCCAGTAGCTGCAGGGAGTCCTGCCAAGGTCTCAGCGCGCCAAGGACTCTGCTGGGCAGTATGCAAGCTACAAAAGCATGAAGCATCCCCCCCAGAGAGTGCAAACTCCACACGACATAAGTCATTTTTAAAAATAAACCAATGACAATGGTGATCTGGGATAAGATTTCCCACATCATGGGGAAGGCTCATTTATTTTAGAAGCATAAGCAACTAGTATAATCTTCTTGTTATGCAAATTATGTATCACCTACGAGAAAGCTGACCGCTCCGTCATCTAGGAATATTCTAAGACCATCTCTGATTCTGAAGAGGCTGGTAAAAATATCCTTACACTTGTAAATTGTGAATGCTTATTACGTAATATGCCGTAGAAAGCACATTTAACTTAGGGAGACATGAGATTTATTTTAAATAAAGTTTGAAAAGGGTTTTAAGACCCTTTTTCGTTTGATCACCAAGCTAACTCTTTATCTGAGGCACTATTTAATATGAATCTAAAATGTGTGTGTGTGCAGGGTTTCAAAGAGTCTGCCTCTGGACAATGCCTCTTAGCATCCCATCCTTCTCTGGTTGGTGCCTAGTGAGACTCAGATCGAAGTCTACCCATATGAGCTTTGACACACATACCTGTAGGGGTTACATCGACTAGACCGAGTCACTCTGTTAGCTCCCTGCTAGATTTTGGGTCTTACACGTTCCCACAGGTCCACTACTAAGGATTCACGCCAGCAGGGCGATACTGGGAGGTGGTGGAACGGCCATGAGGTAAGCATCAAGAGCCATGTAAGAAGTCTTGAGTTCACGGCGGGGGTCGGGAGAAATGCCTTGCAGGGTACTATGGGACAAAGTCTTCCCACTCCTCTCTCTCCTAGCCACATGCTGAGCAGTTTTGTTGCCTTCCACACTTTCAATCCCCAGTGATGTGGTTCCTCAAAGTGGCTCACAGTAATGAGGGCAATCATCCATGGATTCGAACCTCCAAAGCCTGAGCTAAAGTAATCCTTTTCTTGTTATAAGGTAATCTTCTCAGGCATTTTTTTTCAGTAACAGAGAGCTAATTAATACACCCCTTTCCATTCCCTTCGCAGAATCAAACAAAATGGGAATTACTGACTTACGTAAATCATTTGTTTAATTTCTGAGTTTCCTATACAGGTGTTATATAAGTGTGGACTTAAGCTCCCTGGAACTACTTTTATCTAACTCCCAACACATCACTGACATAGAAAAGTCATGAAGATAAAACATATTAAAAATAAAAACTAGAAAGAATGAGTAGATATGAGCAAGCCTGAAGGTCAAGAAGACCCACGGAGATTCCCACATACTGGAGTCCATTACACGTCGACAGAGCCACCCTGGAGTCTTTGACGCCTCTGATGCTTCCATGGTAGTAACAGTGTTCTCCACCCTACAAAACAGAGAATGAATTACTGACTGTATCTCACATGTCGATAACTCTGCTTCTGATAGTTCTGCAGAGAAAGGCCATCAAGGACGAGAAGGCATCTGCCAGAGAAACTCAAAGCCAGAAATTTTCATACGATTAATGGAGGAGAAAGGGGCTTTCATGGGGAATAAAACCAAGCAAATGATAAAGTTCCCTTGCATTTCTTAAATATGCATCACAGAAGCAGATGTGGTTACACAGTAGTTTTCTCTCCCCTTTTCACACCACAACTCTCCCAGATGTTTCTTCTTGTGTTTATACACATTTCGAATAGAATCTTTTTACTGCTATCATCTGATTCACCCCACTTTAGAAATTATCTTCCTAAGATCGCTCTACATTATCAAAATGAAAACATAAATACCAAACCAACCACAAAGCCTTTATCTACAATGGTGTATCACCTCCAAGATAGGCCAGGACAATAATGACACAAAACGTGAGGAAGTAACCAACCAAAAACTGATTTTATTCAAGGCTCACTCCACAAGATGGAACCCATACCTGACACTGCTTGGGAGATTAAGAATCTGAGACCAGATAGCCCAGGGACCTAGGATAAAACTAAGTAACACTGGTCTTAAAAAAAAAAAAAAGAAAAAGAAAAATGGTAGTCATAAAATGACTCTTAATGATATTCTGCTGTACTCATAGATCAATACCTTGTTAAGCCATCATCAAAAAAGTTTCTTTCTGCAGTAGACGGGAACAAAGATAGAGACACAGAGCCAGACATTATATAAAGAAAATACATATTCAAGAAAAATCTTGAAACACTTATCCCTAAAGAGGGCGTCTCTATCAAATTCCTTCCCTTAGAGCTCAGGACCCCTGAGGAAGAGGAAGAAATGTAAGTGCCAGGAAGGTTGGGGGACCTCTAAATGATGAGCAAAGCTTTTAGGAACTCAGACTGAAGCATCACACACAGGGGCCTGCCCCGTCTGCACCAGGACCACTGCACTCACAGCATGGCTTCCAGCTTAGAGTGAGTGAAGGAGCGGGCCTCTGATTCTTGTGCCTTTTCTTGGGCTCTTTTCCTTGTGTTGATTTGTCTTTGTACAACTTTGAAGTGATAGTTTTTTTTTTAATCTTATTATATCTTCTTTTGTTACAGTTTTTAAAAAGAACAAATGAATGAATGGATACCTAGCCACTAGGGTGAAGGTAATTTACGCTTGCTGAGAGAGGGAAAACCATTTTTCCCCAGTGGAAGCACACTGGGTAGATCAACTACTCCAGGGAAGGCCTCATGTTCAAGAGTAGTTGACAACATACAAGCCTCCACAGTTTCCGTGTGCCTTTATTTGGCCACAGCTTGCTGTTTTCTTTGTGAGTGGTGCTCTGTTCTGTTTTCTTGGCCTGAGGGGGTTTTGTTGCTATGTTTCATTTGTGTTTGGTTTTTGAGAACTTAAAGTTGGGTGGGTATTGAGCGGCAGAGGACCTTGGAAGGACTTGAGGAGGGAAAGAATAGGATCAAATATATTTCAACTTAAAAATTGTTTTAAATAAGACAAAAATAAGAAATAAACAAAAAGTATTCAGTTGTATTTGTATTATATATCAATAACATTAAAACAAAAAAATAAACAAGAAAGTATCTCCCTAATACAGACTCAAGAAAGCCCCTCCCACCCCAATACATTTCAATATACTCTGCTGGTCTTGGGCTGAGCTGCTAGTTGGTGTTCATATTGTGACTCTGGAAAAGTGTTCAGAGCTGTACAATGGTTCCATTACATTTTCTACTTTTCTACATTTTTAATTTGAGGAGACATTTTGTTTCACTATTTGCATCTTTGTTTTATATGTAATTAACATCCTCTAGCCTCTAAGAGTAATCTAAAACTCCTCCTTCTGTGCTCAAGGTATCAGTCAATGCGGCATGCTCATTTTGTTCCTAGGGACACTCTATGCTTCATGCTTCAGTCCACCCCTTTGTTTTCTGGGTCCCACTAGGAGGCAGCATGCAGGACTTCTCTGGAAACTTGTGGAATCTTTTTTAGCCTGCCTTCTGTGTTGGACCCTAAATTCCATGTCTTCCTCACTTATAGTCATCACCGCCATCCTCCTTAGAGTGGCACATAGTTTATTGAAAAGTATTTATGATGAATAAGTTCAGTGAGCAGTCACGAGAGTAAACCTTTCCTTGTCAGCCTTCACAGTAGAGCCGCAAGTTGGGTAGGAAATACTAAACTGACTCTGACTTCCTCCCGGCACTTCAGAAACCTATAGTCTTCTTGTTTCTGATGTTGCTGATTCAGAGACGATTCCAGCATTAGGCATTTTCTATAAAAATCTATTGTTTCTTTTTTAAGAGGACTTCAGGGACTCCTATTCAGCTCCGTGTCCACAGTCTAGGGATGAGCCTTCGTATGGATGTTTCGTCTCCATCAATCGAAGTCTCCAGAACACTCAGAACTGAAAACAGCTTGTGTGCTTCCCTCTGGGAAGAAGGCTTTTATTATTTCTTTGCCCGTTCCCTCTGCAAGCTCTTATATACTGGCTACTTCAACCAACCTGAGATGGGGTGGTCTCCTGGCTATGTGGGTAAGGAGTGAATCAGGGTGGATGGCGTTAGTTATTCTCTAAGTACACCCTTCACCTCACCACCCCTTTCCAGATGCCACTGACTCCTGGACCTTTCTGGATTTAATAATATGAGCCAGCTTGCCATTAGCAGCTTCCTCTCAAAATAATTCAACGGAGTAAGCAGTGTTCACACATAAGAGAATAATTACTGGCCTTCCTGCTGCCCACCTCCTAAAACTGCATGAACATCTCCTACTGCCTTCTCCACTTGGCTTTGCCCTAGTAGGTTTATTTCCCTTTTGAATGGGTTATTGGGAAGACACATGATATCACATATTATAAGTCCTCTATATGTGGGTTGCTCCTCAGTTCTCAAATAGCAAAGTTGCTTATAAATATTGACTCATATACAGCATGCCAAGTTCTATTTGTGTATTTAACACTGAAACCGATAAGGACAAAGGGGTTCACACATATCAGCAACTTGAGAATCCAGGTCAGCATACAGCAATTACATTTCAAATTCTTCACATGGTTCTCAATTATATATATATATATATTATAATTCTATATATTCATAATACATATAACATGTAAGATGTATTATACACATATATATGTATATATGTATATATTACACATATATGTATATATTATTATTAGTATATATATATTAGTAACTGTATATATATATTAGTAACTGTAAATTCTATCCAAGTTGTTCTTTAGCACTATGTGTAACAAAAAGAGCTATCCTAAGCCAAGTGGTTAGAAAAAGTACACAGAAAACAGTCATATTCACTTGGCCTTCCCAAGGGTAACTGTTTTCAGATTTTTTTTTAAGATATTGTTATTTTCCCCATAAGCGATTGTATGCTGATATTACCAGCTCTTCTTAGACGCACATCCCATCCTCTTGCACTAATGAGTGGAAGTTGGCTCTCTAATGGTTACCTAGTGGATTAAGGGGGAAACTATATTTGACCGTGTGTTATCAAGTTCTCTAAGCCTCAAGCGAGACTGGAGATAACGTTCAATCCTTGTGCTAGCACCATACTCAGCCTTAACATCTAAAGTGCACAGCTAGTTATATTAAGCATTATGAGTAGTTTGGTGATTTTCGTTTTAATGTTACTATTGGAATGTTTTCTGAGTTTCTTGTTAAATTTATAGAAAGTTTTTTTTTTAAGTATGTTGAAAAAATATCACTTGGCAACTCTGCAGATCCATGTTGCTGCTGTATTTGACCGGGACAGAAAGGACAGAAATCCCATGTGAGGGATCTCACTTGCTGTGACACAGAACAATCCCTGAGAATCTGCTATCTTCACTGATCACTATTGGACTGTGACCACAATCTCCATGTACAAGTTAGGAGATGGGTTGTGTGCACTAAAGGCTCTGCCAAGAGTAGCAAACAGACTGGCTGGTGTCATATCTTCAGGAGCTCCAGTTCACACACCTTCTTCCAGGTAAGAAAACCTCAGACTACTCCAGTGGTCGAGTCAGCATTGACCAAGAATGGGCACAGAAGTCAGCACTGGCCAAGAGTGGGCACAGAAGTCAGCACTGACCAAGAGTGGGCACAGAAGTCAGCACTGATCCAGAGTAGGCACAGAAGTCAGCACTGATCCAGAGTAGGCACAGAAGTCAGCACTGACCAAGAGTGGGCACAGAAGTCAGCACTGACCAAGAGTGGGCACAGAAGTCAGCACTGACCAAGAGTGGGCACAGAAGTCAGCACTGACCAAGAGTGGGCACAGAAGTCAGCACTGACCAAGAGTGGGCACAGAAGTCAGCATTGACCAAGAGTGGGCACAGAAGTCAGCATTGACCCAGAGTGGGCACAGAAGTCAGCACTGACCAAGAGTGGGCACAGAAGTCAGCACTGACCAAGAGTGGGCACAGAAGTCAGCACTGACCAAGAGTGGGCACAGAAGTCAGCACTGACCAAGAGTGGGCACAGAAGTCAGCATTGACCCAGAGTGGGCACAGAAGTCAGCATTGACCCAGAGTGGGCACAGAAGTCAGCACTGACCAAGAGTGGGCACAGACTTGGGGGCAAGCAAGCAGTAGCAAGGGCTTAGTCAATGTGTGTCTCCACTGATGTTTACATTTTCAGATCCAAAGTATTCATCTGTTAATTAGATCTGACAAAAATGGATCCTTTAACAAGCAGAACTTGTTGGTAGTCAGAGGGAATGAGAATTCCTAGGAACTGCACTGTCAACTTTCTCAGTCATGTATTCCACACGGCCAAGGACCCCAAGAGCTAAGTCATGTTCATGTTCACATAGTAACAGGCTCCTGCATTAGGTCAGCAAGCTCAGAATTCCGCAGCAAACCTCTGATGCATCCTCCACTGTTCTGTTGCTGTTCACTAGTTTAGGGGTGGTTGTTTGTTTTTAGTTTTGTTTGCTTGAGGGCCTGTC